GCTAGAGCCAGTACAAATCACTAGAGAGACTGAATCAAAGAGCCATGATTTCTTGTTGCAGAAAAATGTGCCTGAATTGATGCAATGCACACCATCCGGTAAGTTATCATGTTCCATTGAAATTCTCTGTCAATAGTTTGGAGTGGTATTCCCTTCTCCTTCACCCAGGCAATTCAAGTAGCTTCTTAAGTTCATCTTAGTGGGGTTGGTCTTCTTAGGAGACATTGAGTTATATTCTGACTAGCAGATTTGCAACAATGCTTACAAATCTCTAGCACTGTCCTATCCAAATAGCATATTCATGGGGCTCTTATCCATTTTCATCCTTTATAGTTCCTTTCTAAATGTTCATCATCCTGGCCAATGTTTCCGTTCCCATATTCTAATGCGATAGACAACTTACCATGCTCTGAATAAACCAAATCTTATTTATGTTAATGCACGCACTACTGATCTAAATCCAGTTTAGTATATGCATCTGGCTAGATCTAGTCTACTACTAATATTCTTGTTGCTATAGTATTCAAGTGATTAAAATGTCCTAGAAACCATGTTTTGTTATATGACCGACCCTTATTGGTTCTGGTCAAGTGCAAAGCTTTTGATATATTAATTGTATGTACGCACCATGAGGGGGATTCGTGAATGTTATGTTATATATAGCTCCATTTGATGGCCCATTTTGGATCACAACATTCTTTTTACCATTTTCCTGACTTGGCTTTCATAATCCATGTTTGATGTAATTCTACTTTTGTCTGTGTGGTCATTTGTTTAGTTACTATAGTTCCAGTGCTTCTGTTAACTTCTTTGATATTCTGACAACAAATGCTTTTGCTCTTATCCTAATTGTACAGAAAAATCTCGTCTGCTGAAGCAGAAGCGCATTTATGATCCAAAGAGAATTGATAAGAAGAATTTTAGGTCTGGTGCCAGGTCTAAATATGATTGTTTCACATCAAGGGCCAGTTTAGGAAATTTTGATCCTTGCTTGGGAAACAACACGCTTGGTATGTGGTAACTGGTTGTAGCTACACTGTAATTTTGTTTATTTATTCATTCTACCTGTTATTATTCCTTTATTGTCTATATTTGCTATGCTGCACTCTCTCACGGCAACCAGAGTCTATTGATTCATTAGAGCTCTTATCAATTAAAACCTGTCAAACATCAATTAGTTAAATATAGAATCAGATATTCCTGATCTGAGACAGTTATTCTTCTAATATGTTTACACACATATGAAATTTCAAAAAATGATTCGAAGAAACATCAGGACTTCAACTTGAATATTTGCTTATGGTCTTCTCAGGTGAAATGGAGTTCATTTTCCCTTGAAGCAATTCCCCCCTTTTTTTTGTTTCATCTACCCTTGAACTTTTTCTAAAAAACGGTGCATATTTTCCTTCCTGCTGTGCTTCCTTTTATCTGAAGTCATTGTTTGTGCTGTCAAACTTCTGACACTCAATCTTTCACAGACCATTGTTTCTAATTTTGTTCTCGAGTAAATTGCACTGATGGTACATTAACTTGAGAGATGGGTGCAATCTAGTGCATGAACTTGTAAAACACCCATTCTAGTGTACGAACTTACGTAGTGCGTGCAAACAAAGGCCAAAATGGTACAGCACTGAGTAGGACGCCACACGTACGCTCACAGGGCATTGGGCACGCTATATTTGAAAATAACTGTATTGGATTTATGTTTTATCTATTCTACACTTCTATTCCTACATTTTTTTATTTTATAGACATATTTCTATGCACAGTAAAAGTACTTTATGGATGGCTGAACAAGCATGCATCAACGTAGCATCCTAATCAATATCCAAGCCAGAAATATGTTTATAAAAAGAAATATAAAAAAAGATAAAAGAGAAATCCAATACATATAGTTATTTAAAAATATAACATGTCTAATGCCCTTGTCAGTGTGCGCGCAGCATCCTAATCAGCACCCACCTCAGCAAGATTACCCATGTTGTACCGTTTTGGCCTTTGTTTGCACGCACTACGCAAGTTCGTACACCGGAACAGACGTTTTACATGTTCATATACTAGATTACACCCACCTCTCAAGTTTGTGTACCACCGAATTCTCTTTGTTCTCTCTCTCTCCTTACTCTTGATTTCCATTTTTATTACGTATCAACTTACCATGTTGTCAACTTTGTTTTCTTCTATGTCTGATATTCATTTTGGTGATCTACGCCCCCTTTGTATTTCTTTTGCATCTCTTTAGCTGCACATACTAATATAATAATACACCGCTTCCATATTTAACAATTTTGTTTAAAGTTGTAGATTGATGGCCTGGCTGTGACTTTTGCATTATAGGACATCTCTCAGTTTCATCTGATTAAGTAACCTTAAGAATGATTGATAATGTATTTTACAATGTTAATTCCGCACGTATTTTTATTTTAGTGTGCAATATTTCACATCATCACATCACATGGCATGTCAGTGCCATTTGCGTTGTAACACCACAACAGTATCTCTTCCAATTTCGTCTCAAATGAACAACCTTCAGAGGGAGAAATATCATAATGTAATGGAGAAAACTGTTCCTCTTAGTACTTTTCTGGGTCATCAACAATATGAAATCCATGTCTGTTTTTGTTGATCCATTTTCTTGCCTGGCACATAACGGTGTCTGACCTCTTATTTCAGGGACTCATGGTCTTAGATCCGATATCCGTGACATCACAAATCACATTGAGAACCTCTCATTGAGTGAACTTCTCAATGGAACTTACAAATATTCCAGCTTAGGAAGAGAAAAAGGAAAGAAAGTTTTGCGCACAAAAGATGAACTTCTAGTCTCTGTCAGAAAAGCTTTTTCCATGCTATCTGGCAGGGACAGTTATAGTAAGGATCCTAACTTCCTCCTGAGCCCTAAACTTCCTACAGCAAGCACGTCCAGCTGTGATGGCAAAGACCAATGTACTGACAAACCAATGAAGGTAACTGAAATGATTAATGTTTTGATTTGAATAGTAGTAATTTATCATGTTCTCGTCTTTGACTTTAACTGAGTGTAACTACTCAGGGCCCTTCACAAATGGAGGTCTGTGATTCCACAATTCATTGTCCAAAAGATATCCTAAACCGTTTAACACTTCCCCAAGGACAGGATCTAGACTCTCTTTTATCACCTGGATGTGAGAGTTCTGCTGCAGTTAAGCCTTCTTTACCTTCCGTGACAACTCATGGAGCTAGTTTGCCACCATTTCCTTGGTCGCACTCACAAGCGGGAGGGTATCGACCAGGTGCTGACTGTGGTAAACATGGGTCGAGTAGGAGTAACACCCAATGGCAGTGGGTGAGAGTTGGAAGCAATCTCACTGCTCTAGATAGTGAAGATCCGTCTGTGCATAAAATTGATGATCTTCTTCAAGAAATGGATACGGCAAAAACATCTATAATGGATTCGTATGGCAAACAATCTAGTTTATGCTGCACGGAATCAACTTCTGGTTCCCTTGGACAAATTATTCAATCAAGAAAAAAGTTGAATGGGCATAATCCACAGCAACTATTCTCCATGGACAATGTAGATTCGTCAGATAGCTTCCAGAAGAATGATAACGAATCTTTTCTTCTAAGAACACCTCAAGGTATGCAGTTCATGAAGGAAAAAAGCTTTTAACCATACCAATTTCCTTTTGATAAACTCAAGCCCTTCTGATCAATTTCAATTGTATTAATCTCCATGAGTTCTTGCTATGAGCTTGTCAATTGTATTAAGTTCTTGCTATGAGCTTGCTGTTGACATGTTATATTGGAGAAGCATAAAAGCTTTACTGGAGTGGTGCTTCTCTGTCATACATCACTCTAGCAAAACCTAAGAATGTGGGATTTTTTTATTCCTTTTTTTTTTCTTTTTGACACTGGAGCTAGTTGCATGTAGGTTTTACTATCAACCTTAATTACTAGTAATTGCATGCTTGATATACTTAGTTTAATTGTTACAATTTGATGATAAATTGCTGATGTGGAGCTTTTTATGAGCAGCATCACCAAAGGTATTGCAGGCTGCTGAGATCCTATGTGACATGAGAAGCAGCATGGATGTTTGGAGTCCGCAGGTATTCAGCAATGGGACAATCAAGTGGCCAAAGTCACCTTCTGAGAAGGTTATGAAGGCCCGCAAGCCTTCATCCCCATTTGGTACAGCCGAGAGCTCATCTGGATCTCGGAATAGTGATGCAGCTCGTGCCGGAAATAATCACTCCACCAAGAAAATAGTTGATAGGAAGAATGATTCTGTACGCATGAATAACCCTGGGAAAGGATCTATTAGGTGGCCTGTTCCTATTGAAGATGGCGCATCTCCTGTCAAGTCTGAGAGAGGGCTTGTGCTTGATATGAGGCAAAACCATGTCAATGCTGCAAGGCATCCGAATCAGGTGTCATCGCAGGCAAAGGAGTATGAGAACCAGCAGAAGCTGAGGAAAGCAACATTGACCTCATCTCTAGGATCTGCAGGAGATTGGAATAGGGACAGGAACAAGAGAATGTGAATTGTACATTATTCCCGTTGGAAACCATAGTCTGCGATATATATTGTCTGGGGGCAGCCTAGCCAGACAACTGTTACATAAGAGGTAACAGAACATTGGGAGATGCGATAATTTAGGTGGCGCATGATGTATTTATCGGGGCATTTGTTGGTACAATTGTTGTAACAATTGTAGTTCTTTTTATTTGCCATCTTACCGGAGGTCTCTCCCTGTCTCACCATCTTCATTGTGTATTAGTATGTCTCGATCTACTTTCAGCCAAAGTAATAATAGCACGGGTGGTTAATTCCATTGAGGGAAATATTCATGCAATATATTGTCTAATTCAAGTTTATATGTTTCATATGCATTGGCTTTCATGGAAATTATCGGTCAAATCTTGATCACCTCAATGCTGTAGTTATTTGAAGTTGTTGGCAGTTGCTGTGGTGAATCTTGAGTAGAAATATGTGAATCATCAAGATCTATTCACATTCTCTGTTCAAGGCTTATCCCTTTATCTGCACAAAAGGGATCTGTTTATCCAAGTAGAAAGATCTGTCTGAGTTGTGGATTTATTATTTGGGACTCATCTGCAGGCATGTTCTGCATGTTTGGTTATGCGCTTATCTGAATTAGGGATGTAAAATGTTTTTTTTTCTTATTTCTTTTGCCCCACTAAATAGTTAAATATGGAAATTTCCAACTGACGGATAATCGTTCCGGAAGAAATGATATTGTTTCTGACCGTTTTCCTCCCTTTCTGTACCTGATGTTGTTTATCCATGTTCCTTGTGCATGCCCATTGTACTGTATTCATACCGCTCTCATGCTTACAATCTGAAATGAGTGTTTGGGAGGTGAAGGTGACCATGTACATTCTGATGAACTTCATAATTTTTCTGATTATAAGGACAGAATTTGTGTAGTTTCACTTCATAGTTATTCTGTTTAAGAACTGGGAATTTGTGTGGTTTCACTTTGTTTACATTACAAGCATGTACAGAGACACTGAAGGGGTGCTACCAACAAGCCACTGCCTTGATTTCTTAATAGCAAATTATTTATTCTCATACTATTCACTTACATGACCAAACCACTTGCTACTTACCACACCTTAATCCGCTTGTCCTATCCCATCTACGCTATGTTTCACTTTGCCTCGCTCTCCTACCTCTTCTCCAACCTCTCTTGCATTTCATGCGCTCCACCACATGGACACCGACGACGCCGCGAAGTCTCCCTCGCCGCGCCTCCGCGTCGCGCTCCTCGCCTGCGGCATTGCGTCCGCCGCCGTCGCCGCCGCCGTCCTGCTCGCCGTGACGCTCACCGTCTTCCGCGTCCGCGAGCCCGTCATGACGATGAACGCCATCTCCGTCAAGGGCTTCGGCGGCGCGGCGCCGGGAGGAGGAGGAGGGTCGTCGCCGCTGTGGATGACCGTGGTGGCGGACGTGTCGGTGAGGAACCCGAACGCGGCGTCGCTGCGGTACGCGGGGAGCAAGACGGCGGTGTACTACCGCGCGGCGAGGGTGGGCGGCGCGTCGGGCCCTCCAGGAACGGCGCGCGCCAGGCGCACGGTGCGGCTGAACGTGACGGTTAGCGTCGCCGTCGGGGCGCTCCTGGGGGACCCGGGGTTCCTCGGCGACGTCGCGGCGGGCGCCGTCGCGGTGACCACGGCCACGACGGTGCGCGGGCGCGTGGCGGTGCTCGGCGGCGTGGTGCGCCGGCGCGTGGTGCTGGAGATGAACTGCACGGCGACCGTCGCCGTCGCCGACATGTCCATCCGCAACCAGAGCTGCCTGCAGAGAGTGTGGTTGTGATGCCGTGCACTAGTTGATAGTACTCCGTACGTGATAGCCACATTGGCATGAACTCCACCGGCCGATTGTTTGATGAATTCGTACGTCGCGGTAATAAGACCTTGTTTAGATTTAAACTTTTTTCTTCAAACTTATAATTTTTTCGTCACATCAAATGTTTTGACACATGCATGTAGTATTAAATGTGGATGAAAAAAACAATTGCACGGTTTGCATATAAATCGCGAGATAAATCTTTTGAGCTTAATTATGCCATGATTTGACAATGTGGTGTTACAGTAAATATTTACTAATGACGGATTAATTAGGATTAATAGATTCATCTCACAGTTTACAGGCGGAATCTGTAATTTGTTTTGTTATTAGTCTATATTTAACACTTCAAATGTGTGTCAGTATACTTAAAAAAAATTGGCACACAAAGTAAACACACAGACAAGTGATGTGTTTCATCGTCGTACTTGGTAAATTTTTATAGGGTTTTGTGAACATAAATGCACTTTTCACATAAATTAAGCGTCTCAACTTTGATCGTCTAATTGTTAGCTTATCAGCGATTTCAAAGTAAAAAACCGTTTCTCACCGGTTTACCGCAATCTGACCGAAAACCGGTAAAAACCAACGACTTTCGGTCAACGCCGTACGAAAACCGGTCGCCGGTTTTCATAAACCGAGACCTAGCGGTTTTAAAAATCCGATCGGTTTTCACAAAATTCCATTGGTTTTCTGAACCAAAATTCATTTTTTATAACTTAATTTTAGAGTTATTCTAGCATTTGTTTTAAACCGCAAATGCCAAAGGTATAATTATCTTAATTTTTTGTTTAATTTTTCACAGCTAATCGGTCGTAGCTTAAACTATTTGGGTTTTAGCATGGTCAAGTGAGTTTTTTCCAATAATCCGATTACATAGAATGCACATACACACTATTACACACGCACATATCCACAAATATGCTCTTAACACACGCTAAAAAAACGAACTACTACCTCCCTCTCAAAATGAATGTATTTTTATAGTTCAAATTTTGTCTAAAAAATTGTATTTTTTGCTAAGGTGGCACGGAACCTTCCTTTTAATCAAGATTAAAATGGTAATTAAGTGGGCTTATTGTCTCAATATTCCTTTTAATTAAGTGTATGTATGGAATATGTGCATGCAGTGTATTCATTGAATTGGGTTATAGCGGTAAATTGTGTTTGTTGTTAATTTGTCTTTAATTCCCTAAAAATGTAATTATTCTATTACATATGCATGTATCCATGAGTATGCTCCCAAACACATACTAAAATAACGAAGACAATCGTCTAATTCCTTGACTATCCATAGACTCTTTTTAGAAACATAGTATAAAAAACCGGGATGGCATATCATGATGGAGTATTAACAAAGTCATCGTGAATACTTGCCTACCACCAAAAGAATAACTAATCATAACTGCAAGCACATGTGTCTAGTCTAGAACTTAAGGTTGGTTCCATCACGAGAAATCTAACCATGTGAGTTACGCTCACTTTACAATTTCTACACTTGCTAATTTTAATGGACACAAGAATGCAAACTATGATAGGTGGAATCCACGGCTCTATCGTCACACCTTCGATGCTTTTCAAAGGTTAGAAATTTAACACTGTTCTCCAATCCCTCTAAACATACATTAAACGTGCACCGACGAATGGACATGTCTTCTATATAATCAGGAAGCGGTCTCAAAGGGACCATGAACTTAATGAGTGGACACAAAACCATATCCTCTAGCAAGATATGCCATTAATCACCTAACAATCTTTAGCTACAAAAAGAAACACTTTTGTGCCCTGCCAGGTGCCAAACGTGTGTTAGCTTAGCTGGGTAACCCTAACACTTAACTACTCCTCTAATCACCCCTCTCTGTCTCTCTGTCCAACCCCAACTCGCCACGTGGGCAGTGTGGCCTCACAGGAAAAAAAAAACACAAGCCGTAGCAGCTAAGGAAGAGAAGAGAAGAGAAAGCCAAGCACACACACCACCAGCTTTGCTCCCGCTAGTTCCCGCTGATCGATCTTTTTTCGGGAGGGCGTTGCTTGCTCGGATCGGCGGCCATGGCTGAGCCCGCTGGGGAGGCGGCCCCGCAGGCGGACGGCGTCTCGGAGGAGGCGGCGGCGAGGCCGAGGGGGTTTAGGCTTCTTGGGGGGGACAAGTCCGTGCACCAGGCTCTCGGCGGTGGTAAAGGTAAGTGTGAAATTCGTGCGTTTTCTTTGTCTCGGGGTGTAGATTGCTCGTTTAGGGCAGGAATTGTGTCCGGATTGTGTGCTGTTCCTCTCTGTGTTAATCAGTAGGGTTCTTGAGGTGGATATAATAATTGCGTGGCTTTGCCTTTGATTATCGAGCTCTTGAGTAGCGGGTAGGTAGGTATACTTCAGTTGAGTTGTTGGCGTTTAGGCCTGATTAACCAAATTGATTTGGATGATTATCTAAGAAGCAAAATTGGCTTTGATTCTGAAGAATTCTAAGCTGAATTAGCTTCTTTCCCATCCTAGAATTAATGGTTATAGTTGTTTGTTCTTCTTGAAAAGCACAAGGGCCATGTGAACTCCTCAAACTTTTCTTCTGTGTTGGTGGAAATTAATCTTCGTTTTGTTTATGTTGTTATTTAATTCCATGTACCTGATCAATCATATACTGCTGGTTGAAACGGAGCTAGTTATGGTGTTTTAATCAAACGGCGGGATTTTCCTCGCCTGCAGACAGTATTTGTTCACAAAATCATCGGAGAGGGAGTATATTTTGTGGCTTGGTTATCCGGTACAGAGTTATACCAATAACCATCTGAAAGCTTCTAGAAAACATTAAAATTAGGCAAACCATAATAAATTAGGGAAACCATAAGTGTATGAATATTTAATCGGCGTCATACGGACAATTTGTCTTGTGTTCATAAACATAAGAATGTTAAGTTACCAATCGTTAGCTCCTTCCAAACTCCAGAAGTTCTGTTACTTTCATAAACCAAATCATGAATCACTAGAAAATACAAATGAAAATGGTTTTAGCAATTTGGAATTTTTGAGCAAAGAGTTCAAAGGGGAGAAATTCATTGTCCTGTTAGATGTGTTTCATGATGGAGGATAGGATGACAATTGTGAATTGTAGGAAAGGTTAGAGAGCATATCATGACTCTCTTGAAAAAAAGAAAAGAAAAAAGAAAAAAAAAAGAAGAGAAGGGATAGACCATACCATTGCTCCCTGCAAGAGATAGACCCTACCATGTCATGATAGATGGAGGCTGCTTTGACAAAAGAATCGTCTAATGTGCATCCCATAAAGGCATAGATGATCTTTCATATGTAAAGTTGTTCAGAGTAGTATTCAACTAACCAAATGTCTTCTAGTAACTCAGTTGCATTGCGTAGGTTATCATGGTTCCTTTCATTATATAAATTCATCTTGTCTCTATATTCCTCTGTGCAGCTGCTGATGTACTTTTGTGGAAAGACAAGAAGATCTCTGCTGCAGTGATAGGTGGCGCAACTGTGTTGTGGGTTCTCTTTGAAGTTGTTGATTACCATTTCCTCACTCTGATATCTCATGTCCTGATCGGTGTACTGGCCATCTTGTTCTTATGGTCCAAGGCAACCATCTTCATCAAGAAGTGAGGAACAAATATTAAGATTCTTATGTGATTAATACTGCTCTGGTTTATTGATGACAAAGTATTCTACTTCCAGGAGTCCACCTAATATTCCAGAAGTGAAGATATCTGAAGATCTTGCTGTGAATGTTGCACTAGCACTGCGCACTGACATCAACCAAGCACTTCACTTGCTTCGGGAGATTTCTCTAGGGCATGACCTGATGAAGTTTTTAGGCGTATATCCCTATTTACAGAATCAAATTTGATTTGATCCACACTGACAGGTTACTACCTCATTCAGCTTGTCTAAGCTTACATTACTAACATTTCAGGTGATCGTTGCTCTCTGGATTCTTTCTGAAATTGGAAGCCTCTGTGATTTCCTGACCCTGTTTTACGTTGGTAATGATTCTTTCAGCTCCTTAAACTCTCTTGACTTAATTCTTTAAACTTCCAATGTAGTTTACTAAACAAAAGTTTTTTTTTTCCAAACAGCTGTCTTGATGCTCCATACAGTGCCGATCTTGTATCACAAGTATCAGGACAAGGTTGATCATTTTGCTGGGAAGGCGCATGTGGAACTCAGCAGGCAGTACTCTGTTCTCGACGCAAAGGTTCTCAGCAAGATACCTAGGGGTCCAGCAAAAGATAAGAAGCAGAACTAGAAATGAAACACCATATCACGCTGGAACCTGACTTGGGAGTGTTGGCATCTCACATCACAACATATGCATGAATCTTGAGTCCTTGACTTGGTTTGGCCCTTGTTGGTGCTTGGTACATATATGACCTGTCTGTAGATTTGTGTGTTGGGAGTGTCTTGTGTAGTAAACTGTCGATATGATGTGGTTGGTGTGCAACTCTGCAATGTTAATATACAAGATCTTGCTGCAAGCCTGCAACCATATATGATATACGTACAAGGACTCCATACCTATAATTTACGTTAGTGTGGTTGTAATGTAGATCGTGCTCAAGTAATTGTAAAGTGCTGTGGTTCTTTCTTATATCGCTCCAAGTAATTCTCAGTTCTTGTTACTTTTAGTTTGGTTAATTGTTTCCGGTTCTCAAATTCTAGGCCCTCTACTTAATTTTAGCATGTCAATTGACTGGCTGCTAAATTTGCTCAAATCTTATCAGCTGCTAATCTTTTGCTGACGTCCCCTCTCAATTAGCTCGACCCCTCACAGTTGCAAAATTAATTTGAGACCTTTTTTCCTTTCAAAATTTACCAACAAGAAAATAACCTTCAAAAATTAGACAGAGGTGATACATTTTTTAAAATTAAATCTCAACTTCGAATTCGATTTGTTTTGTATTCTAGATTTATTTTAGATAACGGGAAGCATCTATTTCAGATGTATGCCGTCAAAAAAAACAAAAAGAAAACGTAGCACATGAAGACTTCCTCTGATCCCAAATATAAATCGTTTTAGCCTTATAAACTTTATAAACTTTTTAAGTTGTTTTATGACTTCTAGACAATTTCTCAACTACTTTTTTTTTGCCCTTGATAAATAAATGATATATTTCTCACAAATAAAGTGATCCGTATTTCCCAATGCAATATAAATAAATGTTTTTTACTTCTTCAAACTGAATTCTTTCATTGCTATCAAAATTTCACTTATCTGCTTTACCACTGTTTCGTCTCTACTAAATTCTCCTTTGCTATTACCATCGGTCAACATTAGTTGACCACCATATTTGCCCACCAAAATACCATCATGCCCTTATGTTACTAAAAATTATAAGAAATTATAGAAATGCGTTTGTGAAGGTTGCATAAAAAAATATGGCATAAATTTTTTTAGTTAGCTTGGAATGTTTCTACATGCAGCTTAAATGAAATTGAAATGGAAAACAGTTTGCTACTCCCAATACTCAAAAGAAATTGAAATATCCATGTGTATAGTTATTCACTGTAAATTATTTTGTGAAATTTTAGTATCTTTAAAGTGAAAAAAATAGTTTAATTAATGTTTTGTGGTATCTGTTAAAATTCTAGTGTTATTTTCTTTTGAAACATTTACTACCGCATAATGGTGCTTTAGAAGCAACCTTAACGGTGAACTAATAATATTGAGCAAACAACGGTGGTGAAACAAAAATGCATACTAACGGAGGAATGGTAAAAGAGAAAAGTGAATATATATATATATATATATATATATATATATATATATATATATATATATATACTTCATTTTTTACAGCGGAAGAGAGAATACGGTTGCAACGGATGCTGAAAAAAAAAAGGGAAACCAAGTCTGATTTTCTTCTTGTGAAACGGCCCATATTTGACATCACGTGTTATATCATATAACGGCTTATGTATAAAAGTACAAGGCATACTATTTCTTTTGTTCTAAAACAAAGGAGGTATTAACAAACTTATACCAATGAACAACTATATTTTTGGACATAGAACTAAGTAGTACTCTCTCCATCCCAAAATATAATAACTTCTAGCCTTTATAATTTGTCTCAAAATATAATAACTTCTTCACCAGCAGTCTTTTCTTAACCAATCATAACCCTCCACCATTCAATTTTTCTACCTACCCTCACCTCTACTCCAATCGCAACACTCCTCCCATTTAATTCTACCAACTTTCTTAATAACTATGTCCAACTCTAAAAATACTTATATTTTAGAACAGAAGGAGTAAGATGTTTGCTTGAATTTTAGTCACCAGTTTAATTTAACACATATAAATTACTACATCCGTTCTAGAATATAATGAACTTTAGAGTGGAACACGGTTATTAAGAAAATATGTATAATTAAATGAGGAAATGTTATAATTGGATGAGAAGTATAGGTAAATGAGGAAATTGAATGGTGGAGCGTTGTAATTGGTTAGAGAAAAAATATTGGTGAGGAAATTATTACACTTTAAGATAAATTCTAAAATGTTAGTGTTATATTTTGGGACAAACAAAGTAAAAAAAAAGACCATCTCATTATAAACAAGAACACAAATTCGTAACATCTACTTCTAATAAGCACAGTTATGGTCCAGAAAGACTGAAAGAGAGAGAGAGAGAAAAAAGGAAAAAGAATAATCCCCTTTGTGGACAAGATAGATACGAGGTACTATTCAGTTCCAACGATGGATATTCATTGAAGATACATCAAAAGGATTTGGGGTTCTCCCCTTGTCGCCGGACGAATTGAAGCTCGCCGCCGCCGCCGCCCCCGTCCCTGCCTCACCTTCTTCCTACTCCCTCTCTCGCTATTCCGGCGAGGGGAGGGGATCCGCCTCGGCCGCCGCTCGATCCGCACCCGTACCCGCTAACTCCTCCCCACCCCACCAACCGCGACCAAAGAAGGCGACCCGACCCGATATTGGTCATTGGTCTTCCTCCTCCTCCCACCCCCGACCGGCGTCGCCTCGGCCTCGCCGCCGTCCCCTCCACGGAGTTTACGGGTCAATCAGATACTCGGAATTTGGATACAAAGCCAAGCACGTATCAACAACCACTTGCCATTGCCCCACACCCACCTCCTCGCCTGCTTCCCCGTCTTCCCCGGCAATGGCGGCCGCGGCTCAAGGTACTCGTATTTCCCGGTGTCTCAGGCGAGCGCGGATTGAGGCATTGCCCGTCCTTCTGACTGACCCCGATTTTTACGGGGCGCCATTTCTTTCTGTTTCTTTTAGTTCCTATAATCTGAACTCTCTCTCTCTCTCTCTCTCTCTCTCTCTCTCTCTCTCTCTCTCTCTCTCTCTCTCTCTCTCTCTCTCTCTCTCTCTCTGCAGCGACGGTGGCGCCATCAATCTCGTCAGTAGCCAGGCAACCTCAGCGATTCCCTGCACCGAGTACTAGTGGTAAGAATCGCGAATCGGTGCTTCTCCTCCTCCTTTTGTGCATGTTGTAAGTGCTAGAAATGGGTGGGTTGTGCAGTTTTGTTCTTCCCCAAAATTGATAGTACTTGAAAAGGGGGAAATGAACAACACATTTGAGATGTTAAGCCCAGGGTTACACTGTATATTTGCATGATATCTATGATAAGCAATGGGCAAAGGTTGTATCTTGTAATGCTACAGTAACAAACTACCTTGTCGAATTTCAAGTAAACTGTACCATACATGTGTTCTGGGGAAAAAAAAATTTGTGCGCATACTGTTTATTGTGCACAAAAAACAGAAGCCCCTTGTTATTTCCCTTTTAAGTAACTAACAGTCTCTCGACTACATTCTTGGCTCGTATCGAAAATTATATAAGTTGTACCCATCAACTGTACTGTATATCGTGGACAAAATCTTGTGCCATCACTGTGCCCCTTGTTTTTTTCTTAATTAACTAACAATCTCTCAGCTACATTCTCACCTTCCTCGTATGCAGAGATTATATAAGTTGTACTTATTTAACTAATTTGTATATCAAGTATCAACTGCTATAAAATTCTGTAAGGTCAGTACTTTTCATTCACATTATTTAAGATGCTGACAGACTTGGTTTTCTTAATCAGGGAATTCGAAATTTCCTCTATTTAAAACATCATGCTTGGCAATGAGCCATGGCCTTGTATCCAATACTGCTGTGTCTTCACAACCAAATGATGGAGCTGCTAAACTCATCCAGCCTGTAGTCAAAATGTGTGGCATCACATCAGCTAAAGATGCAGAAACGGCTTTGGAGGCCGGAGCTAAACTTATTGGCATGATACTCTGGCCAAACTCCAAGCGTTCTGTTGCGTTAGCAGAAGCAAAAGAAATATCAAGAGTAGCACAGTCTTATGGGGCTGAATCAGTTGGTGTCTTTGTGGATGATGATGAAGAGACCATCTTACGAGTGTCTGATTCATGTGACCTTAATCTAGTGCAGGTTTGATTAAACTATGTTATTTCTGTTGTCATGCACTACTTCAGTTTTTTTTTTTTTTGCGCTGTGCTTATTACTTGCATTATTTCCCCTATGCAGCTTCATGGAGATGAATCTCGTTCATTACTTCATGTGCTATCGAAGAACAATCGCATCATTTATGTTCTAAATGCCAATGACGACGGAAAGCTTATCAACGCTCTTCCTGATGAAAAATATGAGCTTGATTGGTTCTTGGTGGATAGTGCCAAAGGTGGAAGGTCAGATTTTGCTCTTATTGCTTCTTCTATGGGAAGTAGAAAAATTGCTCAAGTGCTGAAATTCTCTGTTTATTCCTTAATATGAGATCATGGGATTTGTAATGAATGCTCAAAAGAGTAAAAGTTGACTCAAATAACCTCTTACATGTTTGTGATATACCAACTTAAACATCAGCACCTTGTAGCACTATCATGTATATGCTAGTAGTTCTTGAGTTCAATATTCTACTTCAGTTCTTTATCTTGCATAATGCATACTTACTAAAAGTTCTTGGAGTACATGCTAATTTACTTGCATATTTCCCTGCTAGAACAAATATATGGCTGACATCTACATCTTGCTCTATATGTTTATAGTGGCAAGGGATTCAACTGGCAGAAGTTTCAGATGCCGTCTGTTCGAAGCAAGAATGGGTGGCTTTTAGCTGGAGGCCTTCACGCTGATAATGTTTGTGATGCCTTTTATGCCCTGAAACCAAATGGAGTGGATGTTAGCAGTGGAATATGTGCTCCTGATGGTATCAGAAAAGATCCCACGAGGATTTCTTCTTTCATGAGAAATGTTAAATCCTTGGGCAGATCACAATGATTATTCTGGTGTTTGGAGGTTAACCTCATTTTGTTTGCTTAATGTGGAGAATGAAGCAGAGTCTCTTCTGAAGCAAGCTGTTCATTTATTCAGCATGGTAGTGGTAAATGCCATTGGGGTTAAAGTCGAAATAGTGACCAAATTTCTGAGGATTTTGCTAGTGATGCAGTAACTAATAAGTGCACTCTCTGTGTCTCAAGTCGAAGGCAAAATAAATTGCAGAGTTGCCATAGTTAGAGTTTGATGTACTATCAATTGTATGTTTTGATCAATGCAATAAGGCTAGAGTAATTTTCACCTTTTCCATTGGGCTTTTCGTTAGTTGCCTATGTAGAATACAACGCGTATGTTTCTTAATATACTCTGGCCGGCATCCTTTTGCCGGCCCGGCAAAAAAAAAAATATACAACGCGTATGCAAGTACACGCAATTACAATAACAGACTTTGCATTATTTGAATTATTTCTCTAGTTTTTCATGCTACTGGAAATTTGGATAGCAACAGAATCCGTTATATTTTCAATTCATCAAACTATAATCAAGTTCCTAGACCAGCCAACAAAGCATAACCATGAGCAGCAAAAACCGCCATGTAGATGTGGTTCGCAAAACTGAAGAGAAAATGCAGGAAAAACTTTCTTCAAGCTCTCACACTTAGTCAGGAGCATGTGTATCCTCTGAAAGAAAGGGTTATCCGAAAGGATTGCTTCATTGGTTGACATTCTGTGTATTCAATGGTATCTGATTAATATCGGATGGAAGTTGGCGATTCATGTCATATGTTTCATAGTAGTAACAGTGTCATCTTGAGGATCCAATAATCTGGAAGTTCGATAACGTTTTCAGACAAATTACACGGTGTGATATTAACCAAAATCTTTTTTTTTTCATACAAATTACACGGGGTAATGTTCACCAAACCGAAGAACAAATCATCACAGAAACTAGTACTACAGAGCCATGCCAAATATTTGAGGAACGATCCCGTTACCAGCTTTGGTAAATGTGTTCTGAAATCAATACTAACTTCAGCAGATTACAAAATTAACGTTACATATCTAAAATACCATCACCAGATGCACAGATACAGTTACAAGAAGCCTTCTTCAACAATCCCTCAAATTAAGTGACAGTTGATCTCATTTAAACGATAGCAGCATCATATTCCAATGGATCAGACTGGGCATACTTCATATGCTTCTTAAATAAAAGCCCAAAGAACACAATCAGTGGTTGCCCTCAGGAGGTTGTGCATAGGAGAAAGGAGCCTGTGGAGGTGCTGCTGGAGGTGGAGCAGAAACCGGAGGTGGAGCACCAGAAGTTGGGCCTGCAGGTTGCGGTGGATTTGTTTGATACATGGCTGGAGGTGCCCCACTGTTGGGGATGGGGGCCCCTGGGGCTCCAGATGTTGGAGGTGGTAGTGTCGGAGGCCTTGGGAGAGGTGCCATCTGCATAGGCATAGAACCAGGTGGCATAGAGCCAGGCGGCATGGAACCAGGTGGGGCGCCTGTTTGTGGCATGGTTGGAACATTTGGAGCACCAGGATAACCTGAGGAGCGTACAGAGAAGTCACATAAATAATATACTCGTTATTTGGTTTGATCAAGTGAAATGGATTAATAAGTGGAAAGAACATCAGTCCATGATTAGCGTGCATTTTCTGTAAGTGTATGCAATGGCAAAATGATAACATTAGCAGTAGCGTTCCTTTGGTAAGTGGTAGCTCATCTTCTGTGGCACTGCGGAATGAATTGAAGTACCATGATAGCACTGGATGTAGAGCTCATCTCACCATCCATCATCCACTATCTGGTTTATACAATTCCATGATGAAATATAATTTACTAAGCTACAGTGAGTCAATTAAGCTATTCTAAAGAAATAAATTAAATAAGAAGAAGCTCATAGTTTAGTTAAGTTGTAAGATAAAAATGATGCCCATATTTTCCAAACCATGTCACCAGATCAGTGAAAGTGGTTTTTATACTCAAGGCCTCTACTTTAATAATAGTTGCACATATTTAAAAGTTGAAGGTCGGCTTTATTTTTGTTAACTAATGTGTTTCAAAACTGCAACTTTGGCCACTTATTGCTATTCTGATTTTTTTTTATCAAACACGATATGCTATGGAAGTACTTTTTGAGACAAATCTACACATGGTACCCCATGACCCAATCTAAATAGCTAAAACAATACTAAATATCAGATGATCAAATGCTTAGACTAAGAAAAAATACTTTTTTTTGGATAAACTGTCTATATTTCAAGACCTTAAAAAATGAGTACAGAAAGGTTTGCATTTATCTATAAACTATGATTGGCGGTTAAAACTCAATAAGAGCTCCCTTAGTGTAACTTGGAGGATCAGAAATTTTATTTTGATTAAGAAAGTATTCCTTGAGAGTATCCAAGTCAGTTTTACTATGGTCAAAATCATCAAGTCATATAATTATGGTCTAACATGTGGAAGGCATATGGTTTTGTTCTTAATCTATACTCCTTTTAAAGAAGGCAATGCTGCTGCAGGTGATCGAATTCCCACGTCATTTCCCCTACACTACAGATGTTACAAATCACACTATGAAGTTCTTCAATAGTACACAATAGACCTTTCACACATTGTTGTTTTTGTATTTGGCCTTCAAAAATACAAATTTAATACAGAAAAGTTACAAGATGACTTGAACTGTCAAATATATGTGGTATACATGTTAATGGTAAATACTGTCAAGTGATCTTTCCAATAAGATTGTGATGGGTGTCTTCATTGCAAAATTGAAGTCACATTCTTTCGTATTGAACAACAGCCTATTAAGACATGTATGCTTCATTCTTGTCCATGTGATACATTAACCCAAATAATGTAGTGAACATAGCCTGAACATACTGAGCACCCAGAATGAAGCTATGGAAGAGTTTGTTATCATTATTGCTCCACTTAAATATGTATCGCATTCCTTGTTGAAATCCAATTGGTAGTTTTTTAGCTCCAATGGAAGGAATGAACTATATAAGCTATCAAGATCAGGAAAGTACACACCACAGAAAAAAAAAATTCGCCGGGTCACACCACAGAAATTATATGCCATATAATTTGAATGAGAACTTGGTTAATGATACTGTAATTATGAGCAACAACGAAAATGAGTTCTGTTACCTGGAATACCAGGAGCTGGCAAAATAGGAGGCCTAACGCCTGGCATCAAAGGTGCACCAGGTACTTGAGGAACACCAAGTGGCATGCCAGGTGTTGGCAGAATTGGAAGACGAGGACGAGGCACACCTCCTGGAAATGAGAGAAGATGTTGATTGAAAGGAGCACCAACTTGGAAAGCTGCAGCTTGTCCAAGATGTTCTTTAATTCTTTGATCAATCAAGCTTTGAGTTTGCTGCTCCTCAAATTGTTGATAGTAGGTTCGAACATTTGCCTAGAAATGTTCACATGAAAAGAAAAAGGTCATAACATCTACGCAGATGAATGAGAAAAAAATAGACACCAATTACAAACTGGAATTATTAAGATGAAGAGAATTAAGATAGATACCTTATGTTTGTACCCAGCATTGTGCTGTTTACGGACAGATGGCTGCAGCATTTTTTTTAGAATAAGTTAACAGACATATCAACTATACAAAAAAACTATATATCTAGAACAGAATGCACCACAGAGGCACATATAATTACAAAAGAATTGGATAATCGTCATGGGATTTATAGAGCTTTCAACACTAATCACATACAATTCATGGTATTTGACAGTCTCAAAAGCAACAAAATGATCTATTGAAATTTACAGAAGCAATAAGTTGAAAGTTCGTAAATATTTCACTGCATTGAAGCATTTTTATCTTAAAAATGATGTTATGTAGTTTGCATATATCTCACTGCACATTGCATATACGTAAATAAGTGGCCACCGAGTGCTTAATTGTGTGTTTATTTAGGCTAAGCAATCCAGGGTAAACTAATATCCAGTTACACATTAATTATATGAAGACAACATTAGTTACAGCTATTCACATGTACTTGGCACAAAATTGATTGAATGGCCATGATGGTATTCAGTGGCACAGGAATATCTTCAGAAACAGGCATGAATATACTGTAACATCCTCCCAGTAAAAAAGAACATGTACTGTTGACAGGGAACTGATCTTTAACCACTTCAGCAACAGCATTATACTTGGTAACGCCAATCATGCTATGATTATTTTACTGGGCATAATACTATAGAAACCTAAAATCAAATTAAAGAACTGGCTATCTATAGCAGTGCAAAGTGGAGGGGGAGGGGGAGGAGGAGAAACTCACAGAGTCATGGGTCAGGTAGGTGTCGCAGTAGTCGCAATAGTACCTGCAAAAAGAAAAAGTTAAAACGAGTAAGAGATAGAACAATTAAAACAAGAATAAACACGTTGAAACGGAGCGCCGAGGATGGCAGCAACAAGTAGCAGCAGCGCAAAGGCTCCCCGCAGTGGGCAAAAAACGGCAGCTCTCTCCTCGACTTCTCTACCGCAAATCCCCAAACCCAACCATACACAATACGCAATCCACCAACGCGATGTACGACCTAACCACAAGATTCACGGCGTTCTAAGCTAGGGTCTCGAACCCGAAGGCTCAAACATCGAGCTACGTATACTATCTAGGGTTCGAAACAACAGCCTTCCCACCCACCGCCCCCCACCCCCCATGTTACCTTCCGCTGCGCCCCCAACAGGAGGAGGGACAGAGACACGGATACTCACCGAGGCATCGCGGCGGATGATCTCGTCGGCGACGGCGACGGCGACGGCGACGAGAGCGGTAGGGATCCCTGCCGCGAGCGGAATCGGAGCAGACGACCGCGGCAATGGTGGGGGGGAATTTCGCGATTCGCTCTAGCTCGATTCGCCCTAAAACCCTCGCGAATTCCAGAGCATTTCGTGGGCCGGGCCGGTCACTGACATTGTGAGCCCTGTCCATTTTAGGCCCACGCGGCCCGAGAGGAGAGTCATAGGAGGAGTCCGAGTTGGGCCCACCGTCAGTGTGAAGCCCTTCGACGCTTCACTCCCCTTTCGTCCTCGTCGTCGCCGTCCGCCGCCGCCGCCGCCGCCGGTGGCCGGGGATGGCGAGCCGCGCGCCGTGCCTCCTCGCTGCTCGGGGCATCGCCTCGTCGCCTCACCTCGCCCGGAGGTTAAAGCAAACAGGTGATGCGTGGGGTGGGGTGAATTTTTTCTTATCATTATTATTTTTTTTGTTCTCTTTCAAATTCAAGAATGATGCCGTCTCTCTCCTAAGATTACGTTGTGAGCGCGGTGGTAACCTGTCGATGTGAGTATGTAGCTCCTGGTGGTTGATTTAGATTTTGAATGGTGTATTAAGGGGATGGGTTGATTTGGATGTGGTTCGGTTAGTGGTAATGGTGAAGAGCGTGTGAATTATACTAGCGAGATCGTATTGTGAGCTTCTTTTGTTTTGGATGCAACTTATTTTGGATTCCGGGATTGCTATCTGTTAACTGCGAAGAACCTAGAGGTTCAAATCAGCTTTGGATGGTCTGTTGAGTGAAAAAGAATTCTTCACTGATGTTGTTTAATCATGAAATGGGAATGCTTGATTATTTGAATGGTTAAGTCAATTTCATTTTCTAGCAGTAGTACCAGTACCAGAATACATGAGTTCCTTCAAAATTTGTTCTGAAGTGAATTGTGCCCCGCACTGTTTTTGATCCTGTATGTAACACTATCTGAAACGCCATGCTCAAGCTAATTGCGTTCTTCTTCTTTTGTTTAAACAATTTTGACTTGTTGGAATGCAGAAAATGAGATTGTTCAAATGTTCCGAACCCCATCTCCTCGGAACGAGGATGCGGTAGCAGCTCTTTCGCCAAGGTACACAAATTCCGTTCGTGTGTTGGATGAGAGATTCATTAGGATCCTGAAAATATTCAAGTGGGGCCCCGATGCTGAGAGGGCATTGGAGGTACTCATGCTGAGAGTTGATCACTGGTTGGTACGAGAGGTTATGAAAACAGATGTTGGGGTCAATGTGAAGATGCAGTTTTTTAGATGGGCTGCAAAGAAAAGGAATTATCAACATGACACATCCACTTACATGGCCTTGATACATTGTTTAGAGCTAGTGGAGCAGTATGGTGAAATGTGGAAGATGATCCAAGAAATGGTACGGAGTCCTATTTGTGTTGTCACCCCAATGGAGCTTTCACAGGTAATTCGGATGCTGGGGAATGCCAAGATGATTGGCAAGGCAATTACAATCTTTTACCAAATCAAGGCACGGAAGTGTCAACCAACTGCTCAGGCATATAATAGCATGATAATCATGTTAATTCATGAGGGGCAATATGAGAAAGTGCATGAACTTTACAACGAGATGAGCAATGAAGGCCATTGCCACCCAGACACTGTGACTTATAGTGCACTCATTTCTGCTTTCTGCAAACTCGGTCGCCAGGATTCAGCAATTCGTCTGTTGAATGAGATGAAGGAGAATGGAATGCAGCCAACTGCTAAGATATATACCATGATAATATCTTTGTTCTTCAAACTGGACAATGTTCATGGAGCATTGAGTTTGTTCGAAGAGATGAGGTACATGTACTGCCGACCTGATGTGTTTACTTACACCGAGTTAATCAGGGGCCTTGGTAAAGCTGGGAGAATTGATGAAGCATATCACTTCTACCATGAAATGCAACGAGAAGACTGCAAGCCAGACACAGTTGTCATGAATAATATGATAAATTTCTTAGGCAAGGCTGGTCGTTTGGATGATGGTTTGAAGTTATTTGAGGAGATGGGAGTGTCACACTGTATTCCAAATGTGGTGACGTACAATACTATAATAAAAGCACTTTTTGAATCAAAATCCCGTGTTTCCGAGGTTTTCTCATGGTTTGAGAGAATGAAGGGAAGTGGGATCTCCCCTAGTCCATTCACGTACTCCATTCTGATTGATGGATTCTGCAAAACCAACCGGATAGAAAAGGCCATGATGCTACTAGAGGAGATGGATGAGAAGGGCTTCCCTCCATGTCCAGCAGCATATTGCAGTTTGATTGATGCTCTTGGAAAGGCTAAACGTTACGATCTTGCATGTGAGCTTTTCCAGGAACTAAAAGAAAATTGTGGTTCCTCAAGTGCTCGAGTGTATGCAGTGATGATAAAACACTTGGGGAAGGCTGGCCGTCTGGATGATGCTATAAATCTTTTTGATGAGATGAGCAAACTTGGTTGCACTCCTAATGTTTATGCATACAATGCTCTCATGTCTGGATTAGCGAGAGCATGCATGCTCGATGAAGCTCTTACTACAATGAGAAAAATGCAAGAGCATGGATGTCTTCCTGATATTAACTCATACAATATCATCTTGAATGGACTGGCCAAAACCGGGGGGCCTCATCGTGCAATGGAGATGCTTACTAACATGAAAAATTCTACAATAAAACCAGATGCTGTATCATATAATACTGTTCTTAGTGCGTTGAGCCATGCTGGCATGTTTGAGGAGGCAGCTGAGCTGATGAAAGAGATGAATGCATTGGGATTTGAGTATGATCTTATTACATATTCATCTATACTTGAGGCAATTGGAAAGGTTGATCAAGAATAAACTGAAAAATTCACTGAAGAACTGGATTCTTTGCTTTTGTTCATGTTCACAAGAAAAAATCTTGATCCAAGGCTTCTTTTGCATCACAAGTTTTACTCTAGAATTTCTTCTGGCTGATATACATCAAAAGTTATGCCTCCTTGTCTCCTTGAGTGCAAATCTGGCAAACCATTATTGGAGAAATCTTAGAAGACAGACTTAGAAGGTGTGTATTTCATTATTTTGAGTATCTTGCCCTTGATTTCCTATAGTCAGCTTGTTTACTCATTTATAATGTGAATGATTCCATTATTGTGTAATGGTGCAAAGAATATTAGAGTTTTCGCTGAAAGTTCCAAACATTTAGGTGTAAGGTTAACTAGTGTATATTGAGAGTTGTTTCTTCAGCAACCACTGTTGGAACATCGATGTGTATCATTTACCAAGTTATGGTCGTTTCTTTTGGACATTCTGGGTATTTTTAAGCTGTAACACAATGCAAAATATAAGGATTCAGAACCAAAGGATGAGTAGTTGCGCCGTTATCATTTATGTACACCCCGGTTTAGCGAGCTTATAGGATCCCCAATATACTGTTTATTATAGATCTGGTAGGTTGACAACCTTTTAATAGTAGTTCTGACCTTATTAACACATTCTTATCTTTTATAGGAACTTACTCAATTTTGGACAGTAGTAAGCTTACCAAATCGGCAATCTGGCACTACCAATCCAAGAGCAACTGTGCGGAACATTCTCAGTCCAAGTGTCCAGATGGGGCTTTACATATGGATGGCCATTGCTTCACAATGACGGACCTAGGAATTTTCTAGAGCTTGTGCAGAAGCATGCGAAAGCAATCTACAGTGGAGCTATCCACCGGTGGTGAGCCTCGCACAGCCTTGGATCCACCCTGTGCTTCATGGCAAAGTACTTCTCGCTTATAAAACTGTCATATAATTTTGGAAGTTCAAACATTATAACAGCATCGAAGCTTGTTTTTCTGAGGACCAAAGTCAAGAATCCAGATGTGGTGGACATGTGCTCCATATATGTTGTTCTACCTTGGTCTCGAAATATAAGAGAACCAGATACTTCTTCAAAATCCCTTATATTTTGGATAGAGGTAATAAAAATTATGTATAGTGGAGATCTGAGATCCTCAAGAGTTAAGGTTCTTGTCATGTTGTATGATCTGTTTCTCGCTGGCCCCCTGTCTGTGCTCTTTTGTCATTCTATAGAAAGATATCATTCTTGTGAATGCTGTCGCTGTTGCACCTATAGCTCAACTGTACATGATAAGGGCATCATGTGTAAACTATGATCTTTTTTATAAAAGGTGAACTGAATGTCATCACATGCAAATGTTTATGTATCTTTCTCAAAACATGATACTAGCTGGATCAGCTATTTGAATATGAAAGTAACGTGATAGACTTCCTGAGGAAGTAAATGTGATTCTTCTCGTCATTTGTATGTGATTTTATTCCCCTGATATTGTTCTTGTCAAGGGTATTTAAGTCCGTCTTTTATCTTTGGTATCACACAGCTTTCGGTTGGTTTCTCATGTAATTTATATCTGTTGACGTTCAATCCATATTTACAGTATTAATCTGAATCATGTTACTATATATTTTCATTTTTCTGATGTAAAAGTTGCTGTGTCAGCTTCTCTTCGCTGAATGGGAAATGAATCACCACTTGATAGGAAGACATTAGGATAACTTGCGTGTATTACCTGGACAAGGACAAGACTTTCATCACCTCTAAAAGATGCTTCGTAATGCAAGAAATGTATTTACAAAGGCTTATATACCTCAATGGGAATAATAAAGAACTACATGCGTATTAGTGCTATTGTAGAAGGGCATAAATCTTACCTACCAATGTGAATAGATACAACAGAAAGAATAGCCAGCAAAAAAATTGGACCAAATCACACTATTTGATTCCATCAAAATCCTTGAACCTGACTGAAACTTTGTCTGATGTCGATGAGCTTCCAATTATAACCAAAAATTTGTCTCCAAATTGGTTGGTGTCACTGCAACTGCCGCTGTTTGGAGATCTGCTTAAGGCCAGCTTCCAGGTCTTCCAATGTGATTGTGATCATAGTATTCGCATCGTCGCAGTTGAAATCAAGACGTAGATCTAGATTCTCACGGGCATTGATGAGCAGCGTGTCTACAAGGCCACCATTCATCTGTTTACGCCGCTGTTCAGTTGTCTCCCTGGCAATCAGCTCTCCAACGACCTCGATGCTGCAGCTTGGGTCCAGCTTGAACCCATACAGCAAACTGCTCTCAGTTGGGTTATTCATCTTCAGATGTAAGATCTCTGCTAATTCTGTTGTGGTGAAATCGTCAAAATAAAAGAACTTTGTGACCCTCCTACAGAAGCCGTCGTTGGAGGCGATGACGCGCTTCATTGGCTCACAGTATCCAGCAAATATCACAACTATCTTGCCATTGTCCATTACAGACATTATCTCCTCCAAGGCCTCCACACCGTAATCCTTATCATCAGATTTTTGCATCGGTATCAACCTGTAAGCTTCATCCACAAACAGAATTCCACCCTCAGCATCCTGTATCTGTAGAATGTATACACATTATGATGTATAAGTTAATTAAGTAGAGCAATGACAAATTTAATCATAATAACTCCAAAGTCAAATCTACCCATGTATTTATCCAATGTCCCTAAAACCTACTCCCTCCGTCCCAAAATATAGCAACCTAGGACCGGATTAGACACAATCTAGTACTACGAATCTGGACAAAGTTACTATATTTTGGGATGGAGGGAGTATTTATTTCCAGATTTAACAATTTTTTTTCTTTTCCACTTTATCTCAAATTGATAATTGAGAAACCAAGTCTTCTGACAAAAGCAAGTATTTGCAAAACATAAGAATCCAAATACTAAGGACCAGTGTAAGAAATAAGTAATAGTTTGCATAACTAGTAATAACAGATAAATAGTTGGAGCTTTAATACTCCGATTTCCATTTTTAAGGATAGAGTTTGTATAGTCACACGGGAACAAAATTCAGAACTCAATTGAACAGAGAACATAGCTACCTTTCGCCTAGTTTTTGGTCCAGTGTGCCCCACAAATTCTCCAACAAGATCAGTTCGCTGTACTTCAGTAACTTTGTCGGTAGGGAGAACCCCAACCATATGAAGAAGCTTTCCAAGAATCCGAGCAACCATTGTTTTACCTACATTAGAGGTTGCAATATTATATAGCTGGCTTTAGCACCTAAACTACAAACACTTGAATGATTTGTATGGCCTTGTTTATTGTTTTAAAACTTGTTTACCCAAGCTTTGGGAGAAATGCTTTCAGCATGCATCAAAGCAAGAATCACATGCAAGAAGTTCACCAAGCATACATATTTCTTAATTGTACTGTTCCAATAAAATTCATCGGTGCACAAAATAGTAATTATGACCGTAATACCATGATGATAAATCATGCTTTTGATTATCAAACTGAACATAATTGTGGTACCTGTTCCTGGATTGCCAAGAAATGCCATATGGGGAGCCCTTCTGCTAGCAATCCCTAAGCCCATAGCTCGTCGTTTCTCATCAAAAAGCATTCCCCTGGCCCATCTACGCAATTGCATTTTGAGGTCCTGTAATCCTACAATTTGTGATATTGCTTCTTCAAACTCCGCCATTGCTTTTCCTTCACGGCATGACATGAGGGCTTTCCGTTTTCTTTGCTCTTCCATATGGCGAGTGAGGAGTTTCTGCAGCTTCTCATTACCAGCTCCTCCAGGAATATGATTCGAAGGGATTTTGCCTTCCTGGTGGGGCAATGTGTGATGAGAACAAGATTCAGTACACTAAAGTTGTTGTAAAGAAAGCAATTTACCACAATAAGAATCAAGTGTCTATACATCGTCTTTTGCATAGCAATCCGCATTGTAGCTTAGCAACACGCTTACGGTGCTACAATCTCCAGATTGAAGTGCATGCCAGACAGCTAAATGCAATGGTGCCATGCCATTCTGCAACAATGAGTTAAAACAGATTAAATATGAATACCCACAAATAATACGGGATAGAAAGAAAAGTAATACTAGATAGACAGATCCTACATTTGCTTTGGCTTCTATATGTGCACCACGTTCAAGTAGCAATTTTGCTGATTCACAAGAACTGTTTTTCACAGCCATGTGCAGGGGTGTCTCTCCATACTGCAGAACAACAGAAGCAGTAATTTATATCTTAAGCTCAGAGCATACAATTAGTGTCGCAGAGGTGCCAATAAGGCTGCAACAAATGCCAGATACTTCAATTACCATGTTCTTTGCTTCCAGCTCAACTTTATCCGTGCCTTGGAAATCAAGCAAGAATTTGACTATGCCAGTGTTATTGTAGCCAGCTGCGACATGAAGCGGTGTTTGGGACATCTGCATGGTACATTGTCAAAGAGAAGGTAAGGAACACAATATTATGCAGTACTTCACAATATTATGCATAGCAATTATGCACTACAAAATTCTAGTCAGAAAACAAAAAAAAATTAAGGCCTCAGTTGTTTAGAAACTAATCAAATTCATCATCGTGCAATTCAGGTCTAGCCTTCATGTTATCTCTGGCAGGAATTTGGTGTGTTGTGAACTGAGATATACGCAATATCCTTTTACTGATCTATTTGCAAATTGTGCGCAAATCAAGATTGCAGTGGCAGCAACATTACAAGATATCCAAATCTTATCAGTTCACCAAACATAAACGTCTAAATCATCTCGAAATGCAGAGTTACAAAGTGTATAAGAAAGCGACCAATCTGAGAGAAGTCGCAAACCATTTCAAAGAGGAATTAGAGAAACCTACAATTGCATAAAACTAAATTCCACCGAAAGAAAAATTGACAGTTTGAAAACCATTGCTGCAATAGTCTGAAATTCCACCTAAAGAAGAACCGACGTCGGAATTAAACGAATCTAGAGGAAATTTTGAAAACTCTTGGCGAGAAAAGAAACTTGCATCCATATCACAAACCGAGAAAGAAACATCAGAGCAAGCAGGAGGATGGGGAGAAAAAATATTCCCCCAAAGAAAGCACCACCTCAGCATCCTAAATAAGGAACGAAATGGGGGAAACCGCCAACATGGGGATAAAAATCCAAGAACCAATAAAAATCCAAGAACCAAAGCTCATGGAAACCAAGAAGCAAGCACAAAATCCGATCAAACCAACATTTTTTCTTCACAACGAAAGAGACCCCATCTCTTGCGAATCTCGAATGCTCACTCCAGTCCACTCCACACTGCAAGGAGTGTCAAACGAAACCGCGCAAGAAGCAAGCAAAAGATCGGAATTTCTTTAAAAAAAACTAAATTAAATGAACAAGAAGCAAAAGGGGGGGGGGGAGCAAGGCGCGGGCACGCACGACGGGGTTCCGGTCGTTGATGAGGGCGGGATTCTCCTGCAGCTTCCTCTGGACGCCGGCGAGGTCGCCGGCGCGGGCGAGGCCGTGGATGGTCTCCGCCTTCGCCGGCCTCGGCCGCCCGTTCTGGCTCCCCGGCACCGGCATCTCCTCCCTCTCCTGCTCCCCTCCCTGTGATAGTGTGTGCGCGCTCGCTCGAGCAGCTTGCGCGTGTGAAAAGGAGGAGGAGACGAGGAAGAAAGGGAGGCGACGGGGGGCGAGCCGACGGGTACCAAATCCCTCCTGCTGTGCTGTGCGCTTTAAAAATTGGATTTTTTTTTTTGTTTCTGGATTTGTTCTTGTTTTGGTTTAATTTTAGTTTGTTTCTTTGGAGCTTTATTTTTGGCATCTATCCCGGGGTTTTCTGGCTTTGTTCGTTGTGAAAAAAAAATGAACATTTTTTCTCGTTTTCTTTCCCTGCTTATCGCATGCAAAAACCAATGATTGACACTAATTACACCATGATTTGGTAATGTGGTGCTATAGTAAACATTTGTTAATGATGGATTAATTAGGTTTAATAGATTCGTCTCGCAGTTTACAGATGGAATCTGTAATTTGTTTTGTTATTAGTCTACGTTTAATACTTCAAATGTGTGTCTATATACGTCAAAAAAATTTACTTTCAGGATTATGGATACCACATAACTAATATTAGTTGACTAAATCTTGGCAGGACCCACCACATACCATGTCTTATACGGAAACAACCTTCAGATATAGGAGAAGTTCCGTATGAGGAAGAATGAATAGAGTTCTACATGGAAACGACGAGGACTACGGTCGTAGTGCAGAGAGTATTGTTGATCCTTTGTACTTCCTCCGCCCCCTAATATCAAGGATTTTGACATTTTGCTTTCACTGTTTGACCACTTGTCTTATTCAAAAAATTTATGCGAATATAAAAAACGAAAAGTTATGCTTAAAGTACTTTGGATAGTAAAGTAAGTCAAAAAAATAGATAATAATTCCAAAAAATTTTAAATAAGACGAATGGTCAAATAGTGTAAGCAAAATATCAAAATCTCTTATATTAGGGGATGGAGGGAGTAACATTTTAGGTGGCGTTTCTCCCGATGAAGATGAAGATTAAGTTTTTTTACGTAAAACGATGTTGTATTAACGTATGATTGATTATTTTTAACTATTGCAAACTTGAAAAATAGATTAATATGATATTTTAGAGCAACTTTCATATAGAAAGTTTTTGCACAAAAGTCACCATTTAGCAGTTTGAAAAGCGTGCCACGAAAATCTTAATCTTCATCCAACTCTTGTTGGAGAAAAGAACGGGACCTTGAAAGCACAAGAATATAACGAAAATACAGAAAATCATGGAACATGAAGAAAATGATGTTTTAAATGGCACGTTGAAAAAAAAAGTGAATATGAAGAAATAGGAAAAATGAAAAAACACGTTTTGATTTCCACAAAATTCCTATGGAATAGATTGTTCCGTATGCTTTCAGGTATCTTTCATGAGCTAATCATTTGTTTCAAAAGGACTTGATATTCATTTTATCCATATGATTTAAATCATAATTTACTTTTCTTTGTTCATAAGGGGAAAAATAATCAAGTGATTCTTAAACACTCCAATTTTTTTATTTGATGTACTAAAATAGTATCATCCTTCCAGTTTTATCGAATTCAATCATTTATCAAGAGTGCACAAAAAGACTATGTAGCATTACATGAACGAGTAAATGTGCCACAAAAGGGCAACAAACCAAACAAAAAGGAAAGGGGAAAGGAGAAAAACATAGAAAATTAATTATAAAAATTGTTTTTTAGCGCATCTGCTTACCCAACATATTTTTTGGATGAATGTTTTTGTAACAAAGATTTTCGAATGAAAATTTTCATATGAAAGTTTTCCTGATGAAAGTCTTCAGAAGTTATCGAAAAGACTTTTGATAGAAGTTAATAGTGCAGTCCTTCCAATTTTATCAAATTCAACCATTTATCAAGAGCACACAAAAGGACTAAGTAAGAGACGAGTAAATGTGCCACAAAAGGGCAACAAACCAAACAAAAAGGAAAGGGAAAAGGAGAAAAAAAAGAAAATTAATTATAAAAATTCCTTTTGTTTTTTGGATGAATGTTTTCGTAACAAAGATTTTCGAATGAAAATTTTCATATGAAAGTTTTCCGGATGGAAGTCTTCGGAAGCTATCGAAAAGACTTTTGATAGAAGTTAATAGTGTAGCTACATTTAAAAGTTTTCCACCTAAATACTTACAATAGTTTTTTAGTAGTCCTAATTTAGAATTACTTGTACAAAAATATAGTTTTAACTTTTATCCGATATAATTAAGAATTTGTTTATTGTAAATGGGTTATATCCAATGTGTTTTATTTGATAACAATATATTTGAGGCCATCAACCTAGCTTGCTGACAGACTCTTATTCCAGAGATGGACGACATGATTTGTGTGACATACTTGCATCAAGAAGAGGACTAATCGATCTTACTTTGCATCTATGATTTGAAGAAGCCAAGCATTTGATTTCTTAGCAAAAGAACCATTGTTACAGAGCACCTCACACGTTTACGTCGATATGCTAAAAGAAAATTATATTATGTTGGTAACATAGGATCATTTTGTAGTTATGCCATATAAAAATATTGTTAGTGTAAAAACTTATTCAAATAACTTATCTAACTACCAAATTTGGTATAGTTGAACTAAAAGCTAAATATTGAAGGCGTGAGGAAAAACTTACATGAAACTAAACACCTGTATGTTACTAATAGTATTTCTATTTTGAGTCTGATTAAGATACAAATTTCGTTTTTTTAAGTTGTCAATTGGTGTGTTTCGTGCGAAAACATTCTTCCGTACAAGTTAATATTAAATCTATTTTCGAAGTTTGAAATAATTAAAACTTAATTAATTATGTGCTAATGAATATTTCGTTTTGCGTGTCTGTACTCGAGACATCTATAGCTTCTCCCAATTATTTGTATTTTGTAAACGCAATAATACAATGCAATTTGTTATTCTTCCGAGTCTGATTTAGGGCTTGTTCATTTTATAGCCATTTTCAATCTTTCCAAAATTTGGTATTGCCAAAATCTTAGCAAGTTAGCAACATTACTAAGTTTTGGTAGGATAGGTTAAATATATTATTGTCAATTCTCTAAGTATGACAAATATTTGATAATAAACTAAATATTATCATGCATTTGTTAATTTTATCAAATAATGGTATGGTTTAAAATATCATAAATCTGAACGTGCCCTTAAAAGTAATCAGTTTTTCAAGGACAAAATCACATATCAAAACCTCTAGTACTAGTACCAAACAAGACCAGCACAATAATGTAATTGTACAGCCAGCATAATTTAGCTTGAGGATAGCGTAGATCTACGCATAAGATTGGATTAATTTTGGGCTAGCATAGCTACATTGAGGCAATGTTTCTTTCAGTTTAGGATTATTATAATCTAAATTATTGAGTCAGATTACTATAAGCTATAAGCTAGATTGTTATAATCTATAGTAGAATAAGCGGTTAGTTGTTTCTTTTCTAGATTATTAGATCCTAGATTATTGGATTTGCAAGTCTACAATGGGAGTGGGGTGGCATGGTGGGTAATTTTTACCCAATAATCTGAAAAAAGCCAATAAGCTACTTCAATAAGTTGTCTGTTATTTTTTAGCTTACTACTAATAATCTAAATTATAATAATCCCAAGCTTAAATAAATAGGACATTTTCAGCTTACTACTAATAATCTAAATTATAATAATCCTAAGCTTAAATAAATAGGGAAATAAATAGAGCCTGACTCATCTGGACCCGCCCCCGTACGGACCCCAGTCCCCAAGTGATGCAGGCAGCAGGCTGTCTGTCGGCCAGCACGTGGGAAGCCGGCTCCCCCGCGCCCGCGTCGGCTCGCACGCGTGAGTGCGTGACGCATCAGCTGTTCCGCATCTCGCTCGCTCACTGCCAGTGCCAGCTCCCCGCCGCCGCATCGCATCGAATGCCAGCGGTGTTACGTCTTACGTGTTCAGAGAGAGTGATTTTACACTGTTCAATTATTAGTATAGATTTACATGTCATTTAAATAATAAAAAAAATAAAAAAAGAGACGATGGATATTTTCATATCACTCGAATATTATATTTTCTAAAGGAAATGAGACGATGGATTTACATAAGTTAAAATTCAATTTCTACGGGATTAAAACCAAATTAAATTATACTAACTAGTTAACATATATTTATAGTTAAAAATGTTTATTCCGTTGTAATATGTATAAGTTAAATTTGACCTTGCATATTTACGAAGTGATCAATCACATATTAATCTTATCTCGTTGATTTTTTTGATTTTTTCATAACTTATTTAAATGATATGCAAGTGCAAATCATAAGGCGCAGTAACAATGCAAGCTACGCTATGCGTGTCTCTTGCCCATGCAAAGCATGTTACCTCTTTTGTGTGGCCTTAATTGGGGTGAGGTACTATCGAAGCCACAAAGCCCACAATACTGGTGACCAAAGCAAGGAAAGTAGCCCACGGAATTAATTCCCCCAACTAATCTCGACGAGTCTCTCTTGGACGCATCGCATCCCTCAACCTGTCGCCTCCAGGTCCACTACACGCCTCCCAATCCACCACGGCGCATCGCTGACCACCATATTCCGCCGCGAAGAGTTCACGGCGATGGAGCTCTGGAGCGAACTGGTGCTGCTTCTAATTGGATATACCCCATCTAGGCCGACAAGAGTGAGGGCATGAAAAAGAGGGGCAAGAAGGTGATGGTAGTCGTCAAATCCTTGCACTGAGAGATCAGACTTGTCAATTGAGATGTGGACCGAACCTAGGGTCTAGGATGTGGCTGACATTGATGTTCTAGCTCGTCCACTTCCAACCCCGTTAACTGTGGAACAGGATGTGATGGCGGATGCGGTGCTGGCTTCAGCTCCACCTGTAGCAGAGGCTTCTTGAACTCCTCCAACAACCAAGTCAACTCAGGTAATGGATCTCAATCCTAGGTTTTTGTAAATTTGGGTGTCCTTTGGATATGAATCATACGAAGTTGTGCTCTTGATTTAATGGCATGAATCGGTGGGCACGTGAGAGCGATTTTAGGGATTCCATCTTCGGTGTGGCGTGAGGGGAAAACGACTCGGAGCCATGCCCTCCACAGCGCAGGCGCGATGTGTTTTCTCAGCCGTGAGTGGACTCACAAAGGGCAAAGAACGTGTCTCTCTGTGTGGGGGAAAGAGGCTCAACAGAGGCGCGCATTTAGTCGACACATAAGTGAATATCCGAGCTGGCAATACGAAGTAACTTACCGCATCCTCGCATGGTAAAGGCCTAAAGGGCCTAGGGGCACATCCTCTCCGAGAGTTTTCAATAGTTTTCCCCATTTTCTCCATGCTTGGGCGGTTGGGCCTCCATTTTTCCTCTCTCCGTTGGCTTACGCCTCCTATTAATGGGCCTAATATCGGCCCATTTCATGGGTCGGCCCGTGCATCGGTGCATGCCACCTCAGGCCCATTCGCTCTAAGAAAAAGGCCCTAAAGTCTAAAACCCTACGCGTCCGTTATCCCAATCCCCTCGATTCTCCGGCGACTCCGGCGATGATGCCGCTCCTCCTCCTCCTCCTCCCCGTCCGCTCCGCCCCTCTCCGGCGCCTCCTCCTATGCCGCTGCTCCTCCTCCTCCTCCCCCGCCGCCGCCGCCTCGGCCTCGTCATCCGCGTGCCCCGTCCCCGCCTCCTCAGTCCTCGCCCCGTACCACCGCGCCTTCGCCCGCCGCATGGCCCTCGCCGGCGTCCACCCGCACCACCGCGTCGGTACGAATGCGGCGTCGCTTTATTGGTTTTCTTGCTGAACGAGTGGCTCTGAGGTATGGTTGGTTGGCTGGTTTGCAGCGGTGGGGGTCTCCGGCGGGCCGGACTCCATGGCGCTCTGCGTGCTCGCGGCGGCGTGGAAGAAGGCCGGGGAGGGGAGGGAGCAGGAGGATGAGGGAGAGGGCGGCGTCTCGGGATTCGTGGACGGGCTCCTGGGGGTCGTCGTCGACCATGGCCTGCGCCCTGAGAGCGCCGACGAGGCGCAGCTAGTCCGTGATCGGGTGCGCGGCATGGGTAAATCTTACTTATGGATTAACACTGTATAATTTCTTTATTTTAACACAAATTTACTCTGCACCTGCGCACATAGAAAATTGCAATGATGATTGGCTTCCGTTAGGTCTGCTCCTTGAGTTGCATTTGAATGGGACCTTTTCTTTTGAACTGTTTTTTTTAATGCGACTTGATCCACAAAATAGACATTTTGAGGTGCCACAATTTTGTTGTAGGTGTTGTTTGTGAGATTGCTACATGTGAATGGCCGAATGGGCGACCAAAGCTGGGGCATATTCAAGAAGCTGCCCGTGAAATGAGGTGTGCGTCTCCCTCTGCCATGGTTCACTACTTGTCAAGGATAATGCTATCTGAACAATTTGATTTTCTGCAAACTTAGTATTTGTGGTTGATATGGCCAATTTTTTTTATGTCTCATCGATTTCCAAAACTTACATGCATGCTGTATGGATATCTGAAAAAAAATGTACCTCACCTACTAACAACTTTGTATGAAATTTGTGTAGACCATTTACTTGCACAAAGTGTTAGGAGTTAAGGGGCTTTCCCTTCTCTTTACCGGCACTTAAGGCATTAGATTTAGTTGTTTGTTATACTTAAGAGGGCACATATGTTAGTATTTTGAACTGTGGGTTGTGTAGGCGTGTGTTGTATGGCTTTATTTGCCACTTCTCTTATATGAAATGATACATAGCTCTCCGGCATGTTCAAGAAGAAAAATAATGAATATTTTGTTTTGTTTAGTTAAAACTCTGAACCTTACATGTTGGTATTAGTGCATTATTCTCACAATATATTGGCGCTGAGGGTATCAGGAATGTTCTTTAGGATTCTTCATGGACATTACCTCCTGCACAATGTGCATTTTTTTTTTCAATTTCCAGTGTTGAGAAGCTGTAAACTTGCCACTTCAAAAGTAAAGAGTGACATGGTTCACACTGACTACTAAAATATATGGAAATTTAGTATGCTATGGCATTGTGAAAATGAATGCTATGTTCTTCATGACTGTATATATCTACCTGATATATGCTCTGCCAGTTCCATACCAATTTATTCACAAACACAGAAATACCTTAGTGCATTTTAACAAGACTTCACATTTTAATAAATTCAGGTACCAAAAACTGTTGGACATTTGTATAAAGCAACGAATAGCAGTCTTGCTTATCGCACACCACTCTGATGACCAGGTCTGTTAAATTGAGAGATGTATTTTTCCTTTTTCCCTTGGTTTTGAATGAGTGTTGCCCCACTTATGGAATTGTGAGTTAACACATAAAATCCTTGTTATGTAAAAGCATTGAGCCAAATGACACCTGTTATCATCGTCAAATAAGCGGTGCTAATTTTTTTCTCTTATATTTTAAGTTTTTGTGGACTTGACAACTTGCATATAGGGAACTATTATTAGATATGATACTATTGTGCCTTCATGTATTACTGTATCTTTGTTTGTGCATTTACTCTCTAGGCTAACATACATTGTCACATGAATATCTGATATCGGATTTAGTGGACCTTGCACTGATCCTTGAATTTAGACATGGTTACCTTCTAATTGTCGTAGTATCCAATGTGGTATTGAATTAAAGATTACTGAATCTAATGTATACTGACATCTTTCTACCATTCTATGTTATGATTTTATGCCATTATAGTTACTGCAGATGCAGATTATATGTTTTCTCTGAGTGAATTTAGGCTTATAAATGCAGGCCGAACTCTTTGTTCTGAGACTATCTCGCAACAGTGGTGTTTTGGGGCTTGCTGGTACAGCCTTTGTATCTCAGTTGTTTGCGCCTAATCTAAAATATGATGGAGATAACTTCAGTCGTTATGGTGTTATTCTTGTCCGTCCCATGCTTGAATTTTCAAAAGATGACATGTATAAGGTAAATCATGATCTCATGATATTTAGAATCAGCCTTGCATTTTACTTGAGGAGCCTTATCTTACTTTTATCTTTCAAATATAGTCAATATTTCATCATTAGACACTTAATTTGAATTTTGATTTCCCAAAATTCATTTAACATGCTGTATTTAATGAGTTCAGCTTATGTATGTTTCTAGAAATTCCTCACCAATATTCCTAATTTCTCCTGCTGACTAGCCTTTCTCTGAAAAAGCAACATAGCCTTTTCTTGTAGGAGACTTTGATGACTTTGCTTTGAGCTGTCATTTTTTTTTAAAAAAAATGATCATATTTGTGTAGCTGTTACTGATTGATCTGTCATACTTGGTTCTCCACAGATATGTCAAGGAAGTAATCATTTGTGGGTTGAAGATCCAACTAATAATAGTTTGCTGTACGTTAGGAATCGAATCCGGGCATCTTTGAGAAGTTTATCCATAGAAGGTTCACAATTGCACTTAAGCTGTTGCTTTTGAGTGATTTTAGAATCATCATGTTGAATCCTTTGTCTTCAACTTTACCTCATTTATATCATAATATAGATCATTCACAGATGATGATTGATGAAAGGTGATGTCCATAAACATTTGACAAATGTATAAAGCTTGATTGAGCATGCGTACGTTTTACTCATTATAAATTTCAATGAATTTTCCATCACTATTAATTATCAAATGCCATGTTTGGTCACAGGAACAACTTGTTCTATTGACCATCCGCAATTGGGTAATTCTGTTGAATAATAACTGACTATTGACTGTAGATACACCATCTTCTGGAATCAGCATAAATGTTTGCTTGTGTGCACCAAATTGTGATTTTTCATGTTTCTTGTCTAGGTTGGTCTGTACACAAGGTCTATTTATTTTATAGTAAATAAAAAGTGTGTCAGACTATCAGTGGCCCAGAATTCATGGGTATCTAGCTCAAGAGATTGTATTTAGTTAAATTCACTTGTGGAAGTAGGTCACAGAATTTGTAGCAAATGACAACATTTTCACTGTTTCACATGTTGCCAATTCGTGGCCGAAGTTATTTGTGGCAAGTCCTAGCTCCAATTGGTATGTGTGAAGCTACATCAGCTCTGGCCAGCTTGTCTGCAGTTGTAAATTTGCAAACGCTATCACCTTATGATGAGCGATGAACGAATGCACATTCAGCTGACAAATTTTGCTTATCTACAGGTACCTTTCAGTCAGAGCTTCACAAACTGATCTATGCGTGCCGGTTGACACGAGCATTTATAGATAATGCCTGCAGTATGGTTTTAAAGAAGTCTTTAACAATAATGGAGGTATACCCTTTTTCTGTAATTCGATGTCTCCTATATCATGCCATTACTAAAATTTATATACTAACTCTTTTCCCCCGTAAAATTCATTTATCATTCTGCAGCATGGATATGCTGTCATTGACCTGGAAAAACTTGACCCACATAACGTTGATGATCTTTTTCTTTCACGATATTTAGCATATGTATTACAGGTACGTCTTTTGGGAGAAAAAAATATTCTGAAGTTTGAAGATCTTAGACACCTTATTGCCACGGGACATTGATTCATTTTTTTCTCCATTGTAGTTTGTTTCACAAAGGCATAGGCCACTCCGTGGTAGATCTGCTCAATTGCTCATAGACTACATCCGTACCATCCCCTGCAAGGTTCCTTCTAGTTGATGTGCATGTGTACTGCTTACATCCTTAAGTTTTTATTTCTCTTGTGTGTAATTTTTTTGGTAAATATTACTGTTGTTGATTGGAAGCCCAATCAACTTGAAATGAAAACAAGCCCTAAGGACCTGTTCAAAGTTCACCCAAGTCTGGTCCAAAGTCTGAATTGAAAATTAATATGGACATTTTATACTTCCTTTCCAGATCAAAGATGCTTACATATACATACATATATTTTTCTATGCTTGAAATAAGTCATTGATCTCTCTTAGATTCATCGACATAGCCATCTGATGATGACGATAGCGAACTAGTAATTCTTACGTAGCACATAGGCACAATTGCAATCTGAGTTTACTATTATTTTGTGCAGAAAAAGATTTTCTTGTACGTGTTGGGTTATCTCATTTGCTGAACTGTACGATAGCATTTCATGTGCTAACTTATGGATTACCAAATCCTGGTCTAGCACCAAATAAAGATTACTCATTGGTTCCCCCAAAACATGGGTTAAGAATCGACCTATGGAGGGTGGGCCCTAGGGGCCTCAAATCACGGGTTAAGGCCTGATCTGTAGGGGGCGACTCCTTGTGTAGGGGGGACCGTCTATTGTGACCTTTCTCGGCCCCTGTTGATCAGCGTATAACGTTGCTGCACCGAGACCAAGAAACCAAATCAACTCTGCATGCACATCATTTATAGCTAATTCTCCCTAATTAGCATGCAGCTCAACGGATTTATTCTGCATGCATCTCAACGCATGAGACTTCAAAAGACTCTGCATGTACATGCATAGCATGCGAGGCATTTACTACAACCTGAGAAAACGCTAGTACCTAGTTTATACGCTGATCAATTTGGAATATTTGAAATTTGGTTAGGCGCTGATCAAAAGGGAATGGAGGGAGTATAATACATTAGGGAGGTCTTTCCCTTTGGGGCCGAGTTCTTTCTCATCTTTTTATTATTATTATTATATTAGAACCATAGAAAATACTGTTATATATTAAGAAGGTTTGTGAAAATATTGTTGAAGTATTTGGAGATGGGTACCTGAGATCTCCAAAGAATAATGACACAGCTAGATTACTTGCCATTGCAGAGCAAGGGGGTTTTCTCGGAATGCTTTGGTGCATTGATTGTATCACATATTAATAATTGGAGGATAGGGGGAGATAGAATAAATGAATCATTGATACAATCAATGCTCCCTAGCATTCCTGGAAAACCTCTCTACTCTCCAATTGGAAGTAATCTATCTATGCCATTATCATTTGGAGATCTCAAGTACTCATCTCCGAATACTTCAACAATAGTTTTCATTCACAAACATTTTAAGCTTATGACAGTATTTTCTCCAATTTCAATATTGATTATCCATAGCATCTCTTGGTACTACATAAGTTCGCATTCAAAAGCTGCTGTACACTTGTGCAAAAGATATAACCCAAGACCTCCAACAATATATCTTTTTTTGCATAAGATACTCATCATGTTCTTCTACAGCACATGCTATGTTAATACTCATCATGATCTCTCTATAGGAAAAGTACTATTGGGTAATTCTGTACTTTAGCAAAATAAGATCCTTCATGGTTCATTCAGTTCTGCTTGAATCTCATGCAGGCTGCCCTGAGTGTAGCTGGTTGTTACCTTTGTGCAGTTCCAAGGTCCAAAGGTACAAAAGTACTTGTCTGTTGTTCTGTTGATCTGATGGAGTCATCTTCTGTTCATATGTCCTATAAGTGTTCCTATGTAAAGCAACCACCACCAGTATCCGAGATCAACCAGATAGTCACTGAAGCACGCATATACTCTGATCAATTTCGACAGAACTGCCCAAACACACCTTTTCCGAGCTCTAAATTTTCAACTGATGTGCTGAATAAGGCAAAGGATCTCAAGCTAATAGGTGATTGTACATTAGAAAAGCTCAATTATTTGCAAACAGATGAACACCAAAAATTCATTACAACAAAAGAGCATGGACAAGAACAGTACTTGGAGAAAACAAGCTTTCCTTATTTAGAAGTTCTAAATCTCTGGCCTGGTGAAACATGCCACTTTATGGGCAGGTTCTTGATTACATGGAGAACCTCGGAGGTTGTTGTGAATGGAATGTGCTTGCATGACAGTCAAAAGCATACTTGCCAGTATTGTATGGTAAATCAGGATGGAAGTCTTGCTATTAGGCATATGTTCGATACCGATTGGTTGTTCCTTGCTGAAGTTTGTAAGATCCATTCTTTGGAAGAGAATAAGAATTATTCAAATGCTCTCTGTGACAAGTTGGAGGATGCTAAACTCGTGCAGCACTCTAGATATTTGCAATTGTCAGCAATGAAATCTCTTCAAATCCTGAGATCTATTCCAGCACCTGCAAGACGAATGCTACCAGTGTTGACCAACTCGCAAGGTGCTGTATTGAGTATACCGGTAAGGATTCCACTCAAAAGACATTATTTTGTTTTCATTTTGTAATTTTAATATGTTCTATTTTTTTAAGTACTTCATTAATCCGATGCATTGTTTTTTTAAATCAAACGTGAGCTACCGAAAGCTAGGTAGTGGTGAACTACTCCAAACCTTCTAATTGCATGAGGTTAGCACAGCATGAAGCACACATGACCTAGCTGCCCTTGCATGCATGCCTTTTATTTGTTAGCTAACTATGGAAAACAGCTGAATATCAAAGTTGGCACTTTGATATCGATTTACTATAATATGGTGAGTATGCGAAACTCCAAGAGCAGTACTGGCCATGCGTGGCATAGTTCTCAATTCTCAAATATTGAAAATAGTAAAACCTGTTTTTGGACCTGGCAACTGATTAGGAGGTCTGACTTCCTAGTGATTAGCCAATTGCTTCAGTCTGTCACAATTTTTAACGGGTTCAGTACCAACTGAAACAGCAGGTGACTAGGAAATAGGAATATCGTGCAGCCAGTGACTTGGCTTGGAACAGTGACAAACTGAAGTTGTTCATAACATGGAGTAGAAGTCCTAGGTAGAAGTCTATAAACCATCTGGTTATCTTGAAAATTGACCAGAGAATTTTCATGTTGATTTCTTTTCTGTCCAAAACCATACTGTCATTCTATTACTACATGTAGTTACTGAATGCACAGTTTTCTATAAGATCAAAGGCTTCATGATTCAGGTGGCAAAGAAAATTTACAGATATGAAGTTCTGGGAGATATTATATGTAGTCTTTCTGGAACTTGCATATTTTGGTTTGACATACTCCTAGCATCGTTTATCAGATATTTGAAGGCATGTAGACAGTGAATGCATTTATTCCTTCAGAGAAAGGCTTTACTCCTATTGTGCTAATATTCTCTCTTTTTTCCCTTCTTGTTAAGAGTATTGGCTTCCGATGTTGCCCAAGCCTATTAATTGAAGCAGTATTCAGTCCAAGAGTACCACTTGGTGGAGGATACACTTCATATTTGTAAGTGGTTGATATCTATTGATGACAAAACATGAAACATCAAGTGTATAACTGCTGTTGAGATGTAAGCAGCCGCTGGTAATACAAAACATCTGATCAATCTTCTCCCTCAGTCAATCATTATATGCGAGCTGCTAATGATATATACTAGTATCATGTTTGTCCCGTATAACTATTTCAGGTGCTGAATCGCTTGCAACAAACCGTCCAATCATTGCCAAATGCGAAACAGCCTTAGCTTGCCAACGTCGTTGTGCAGTTAACTGATGTTTCGTGATCCCTGGTTCATACATATGATGATTTGACAAGCTTGACAAGAACGGGATTTTTACACGACATTTGCGGATTTGCCAGTTTGCAGGGATAAATCACTACAACAGTTATATGCCAGAACAGGCCCGATTCTGCACTGGTTTCCATCTCAACACCTGTCGTTGGACATCAGGGTGATCATGGCTGAAATCTCGTAGCTTCGCTTTGCAGTGCCAACCAGGTGTCGCTGAGGCAATAGCAACTTTTGGCACTAGGCAAGTGGAAATGAAGGTACCACTAGATCACTGTGAGAGCAATTTTGTCAGCGCTGGAGGTGGCTCAAGTGCCTAATCGTTAAGAATTTTAAATAGGAGGATAGATAAATATATCAAGTACCTGAGCGCTGGAGGTGGCTCAAGTGAGATTTACCTCCCCAAGAATGCATCGCCTAGCAGACTCCCGGTTGGACATCAGCCTGTAATTTGAAGCCAAGAATCGTTTCATGTGAATTATTCGTCAGACATTCTTACTAGAAAAGCAATGCTTAACTCTACTTACGAATACGATAACAGTGTTCAAGCAGTGACAGACAAAACACTGTAAATGATTGTTCATGTCTTGGTATGTATGCCTTCTCATTCTCTTCACATCCAATGGGTTCGTGCTTTGTTCGCACGGACAGGACATACCACCCTCCATATCCAACAGCGATTCGCTGTCAGAATCCGAACCACTTGTGCCTTCCAGAGTTTGGTTCATATTCAGATTGGTAGCTGATGTGGGACTTGCTGCTGCAGCTGATCACAGCATATGAACAGAGTAGTGAGCAAGAACAGCTAAACATCTGAACATTGTGCCCCATCATTAGATGCAGTTTTGATGCAGCACATAACACATTAATAACTACTGTCCATGTATGTCCATTGCTGGAATCTCCATGTGCTGAAACATCCCAAGTTGACAACGTAGAAACTCCTGTTAGGCTGTTAACCAGAAAAATGATTTCTCATCTTCCCATGCTTAGAATTCAGGGTTCCCTCTTACCAGGCAATTCGAATAAAATTCCTCTAAAACATGAAATAACGTTCGTTTGTAGACTAAAATTGTGCGAGAAAAAAATATACTACTAGTCACTATGAAAAAGTTACTGTAGTAGCAAAAAATTGGTAGAGGTTGAAACAGTCTTCTACTTGAAAGGTAGCAGGAGGCAGGAGCTGATCAGTAGCAGTAAATGAAATTTGAAGACATGAAATTGCAGTCAATTATATATGGACCGTGCTACTACAAGCTACTTCCGGTAAAACTATGAAGATTAAGTTGACACATGTAAAACGAGAAAGATATTAATATATGATTAATTAAGTTTTAATTATTACAAATTTAAGAAATAAATATATATTTAATATTTTAAAGCAAACTTGATATAGAAAATTTTTACACGAAACACATCATTAGTAGTTTGAAAATCATACTAGCAGAAACCGAGGTGAAATGTAAATCTTAATTAGAAAAGAACAGTTAATAACGTTAAAAGTAATGATATTTCACTTGTGAGCGAGGGCTTCCACTTATTCTACACCTCTCAAATCATCTTATGAAGTCGGTTTAAAGTCAAGCTCAAAGTTTTCTTTTCCTGCTGATTCTGTCAAGCCCATTCCTTAGCTGTGGTTTCCTTTCTTTTTTTTTTTCTAATTTAATTGAGAAAAAAAGTCTCATCTTTAATTTTGGCTACTCACCAAAGGAAAGGAGAAAAAGAAGAGGGGGAAGCTGTTTTGGTCCATCCAAACGCCCCAAAAGCCTCCCCCACCGCCCCACGTCTCTCCTTGCCCCTCCTTCCCCTCCGTATTTGCAACACTGCCATTCCGTTTCGTTCAAAATCTGACTCAAGCCCTCGTCCACGTCTAGTACTGCAGCGGGGAGTATTTCGGGGAAACTTGGGCGCTGCTAGTTTAGGGCATATTTGGGTTGAGGAGCTTCAGCTGCTGTAACTTCTTCTAAAATCAGAAGCTCTCCAAAATAGTCCAGCTTTTGATCTAGATTCTAAACCTATAGTGGTATAATCTAAAAAATAAACTAAAAATTAAAAGCTGAAAAACCTTTTTTAGATTCTTATAAGCTAGCTACCAAACCAACTGTCTTGAGCAACAGACCCTTGGGAGTTGATTCGGATCCGCACCACGCACCGACCTCCCGCGACATGACGGCGCAACACGTTGGCTGCCGCGCGATGTCCTGCATGCGCTCTGACACGTGGGGTCCACCGAGCGGGGGCCCATCTAGGGGTGGGACCTAGCAAGGCGCATCCTTGGTGGAGACTGGAGAGCCGTGGAGTCTCTGCCTGTGTGCACGGGAGGCGGGCTACGTGTCAGCTTGGCGGGATCTTCTGGGGCATGCCGGCATGTGGCCGGCCACAGGTTTTGCACGATGAGTGGTGGTGAATGGACACGAGGGGAGAGATGATGTACATGTATAAGAGCAAGGTAAATATTATAGCAGCTGATGGTTTTAATTAGTGTTCATGTTATTTATAGTAGACACTATAGTTAATATGTACGATAAAGAAATTTTATGTTAACTGCGATATTTTATTATTTTCGTGGGTCCCACAATCTTCTTCTATCTCTTCTCTTTCTTTCTTTTTTCCAGCTTCTCTTCCTTTCTTTACCTTCTCTTTGTTTCTTTTGCCTGCAACGAGGCTTGGAGGCTGGTGACCGCGGCGGACGCATACGATGGCGGGCGCAGGAGACGGTAACAGCGACGGCCATGGCGGACAAGGCGGACGCAAACTGCGACGACGGCGAACTCAGGCGATGACAGCGGCCACGATAGCTACAACGGACGAGGCGGATGCACGCGACGATGACTGCTGCGGTGGATGATGGCGGACGCAAGCGACGGAAACATATGCAGTGGACCAGGGTGCCGGCCATGGCGGACTACAATGGATAGGCGACAACACCGATGACGACGGCTGCGGAGGATGGGGCCGAAGTTCGCGGCAGATGCCGAAACCGACGCCGACGATGAGGCGGACGTCGGCGGTGACGCCGGCTGTGGCGGACGCTGGCGATGACGCCGGCCGCCGCGAACAAGGCGGACGTACGGTGGACGACGGTGATGGGTGCGGCGGCGATTGCGATGGACATAGTCACGGACCATCGCTACAAGCGGGCCCCACAACCTTGGGCCGCGCGTGGAGCCTCGCGCTCGCGCTCCACCGCTCTCTCCTCCATGAAATCGCAAAATCCTAGCTGGAGCGTTTATCGCCGGTTATTGTACCGCTCTTAAAATTTTTTACTCCCTCCGTAAAAAAAAGTATGGGACACTGTTAATTTATAATATAAAATAAAAGGAGTATTTATAATAAGTTTTCGATGTTTTGGGTAAACAACATCATATAATTTTAAGATGTAGATAATACTTTATTATAAAAAAAAATCGGACAATTTTACGATGGAGGTAGTACTCTATTACTCTTCGGACATAGACAACGGGATCCGATCACCGGCGGCTGGTTGCGAATTCAGTCGCGGTGTGGTGGGTAGCGCAGAGAATCCAAGGGAGGGGAGGTGTCCACGTCGGGTGATGCACTCCGGCCAAGTTGGCATGATTTGTCCTTGTCCGCTAGCTATGTCACTCCCCACCACCTTCTCACCAAACTCCTTTTCATCTTTGTTGCCCCTTGTTTACAGCAAATTAATTTACCTATGTTTAGCAAATCTGTGGCGACGGCGCAGTGCAGAGGCCGGTGTCTTGGCCATTCACAAATCACAATTACTTGAAGCACAAAGAAACCACACTAAATTATCGCCTTTAATTGTTCAGAAACGTAGTATTCACTCCAGAGTAAAATTCATTTACCATATCCCCTATCAGATGAAAACTTTTGGACCGTTTGGTCACTTACCTGAATTCTCCAGGCTCTCACCAAGTGGATCATGGATTCAGAAGGCAACTGCAATAAAATCAGAGAAAAGCTCTAACCTCCACAACATTTATACTTCGTAGTTTTTCAGTCTCTTACCAAATACTGTGTACTATATATAGCTAGTCAGTTCTATTACAGGACGACACTTGACACGACACGAGGACTCTGAAAAACTCAAGTCCGTTCACTTGGGACATCACATTTTTATACGTAGCTGAGCTGACAAAGCAGTAAGAAGTAGTTTTCACTTGGACATGGCGCCATTGGAGTGGTTGTCCCAGCCCCAGGCGTCACCCACCTCGCCACCGCCGGGCATCTGCACCTGCTCCGGCGGGGACAGCCCGGTGAAGGGGTCGTCGCCGGCGTAGTCCAGCCCGGTGAGCACGTCGGGGACGCGGCACGCCCCCTGCCGGGGGTTCAGCGCCGGCGACAGCCCGCCCAGGTGGCCGAGGCCGCACGACAGCGCCCCCCGCGCCACCATGTCCTCCGCCATCTTCACCTGTACAAAACTCGGGGACAGCTTCAGAGTTCAGAAACAGCCGAAATGCGTGATGCCGATGTGATGATGATCAAATAATAATGCAATGCAGTGTGCAGAGATGAAATGCATGATCACCTTGACCCGGAGGGCCTCCACGTCTGATTTGAGGATTCTGTTGTCCGTGACCGCCGTCGTGAATTGCTGATTGGCATCTGTCAACTGCTTGAAAAGCGATGCGTTTTCGCCCCGGAGCTGGTCAACCTGATGAACGAGCACACGAATTTTGAAATCTGAATAAACCCATAGACCATCACTCAAAATTACAGTACCAATTGGCACAATATTTTGTTACTCAATCTGATATATGGATGGCGCTGTTTGAATTTTTAACATTAGCAAAGGCGCAACGGGTACAAATCAACTCAGTTTACCTGCGTCTCGAGATCAGCTAAGTGAGCTTGCTTTCTCTTCCTTGATCGACGAGCAGACTCCCGGTTGGAAACCATCCTGTAATTTGAAGCCAGCAACCGTTTCATGCAAGTTCTTTGTCAAATATTCCTTCTGAAAAGTAATGTTTACTTCTACTACTAGCGAATACGCCCATAATTTTCATGCCGTGACAGACATAATGCTTGACATAATCGCTGATGTTCTTGGTGTACCTTCTCATTCTCTTAACGTCCAGTGGGTTTGTGCTTTGTTCGCATGGACCGCCCTCTATATCCAACAGCGACTCACTGTCAGAATCTGAACCACTTGTGCCTCCCAGAGTTTGGCTCTCCTTCATGTTCAGAGTGGTAGCTGACGTGGGACTTGCTGCTGCTGATCACAGAAAATTGAACAAATAGTGAGCAAGAACAATTAAAGAACTGAGCATTGTTTGTGCCTCATCATTAAATGCAATTTTGATGCAGTAACAGCACTTGTACTGTACTACTGTCCATGCATGTCCATTGCTGAAATCTCCATGTGTTGAAAACTCCAGGTTGCATGTGTTTTTTCAGTGTGCAGTACAGTAGCAAATCATTACATACATGGATGAGTGACTGTTTTTGGTGTGCAAACTGCAGTCTTATTAACTGATGAAAATTGTGGAAGAGGACGTGTGTTAGGCCATACCACAGATTGATGATTGCGACTCAATTGTGTAGACTGCAGGATGCCGTGCGTTGAGGCTCTGGGACTGGGGCCATATGTGATTGGGAATGACCCCAGTGATGGTGCTCTGCTTGAAAGAAAAACAAAAGCATAATTAATCGAGTAATCAATCATGCATATCAAGAATCAAGTACAATTTAAGATAAGCAACCAAAGCTTGTATGTATATGCTGCTACTTATAATTAGTTGTCAGTATGTACTAGTACTAACAATCATCTTCATTACCTAAATAAATTACTTATCATCAATTCTCAATAACAAGTTTTTTTTTTTCGAGGATGTTCTCGATAACAACTTAATCAACCCTGTCATGTAAACTCTCCTGTTAGGCTGTTAACCTGAAAAATGATTTCTCCTCTTCCCTTCCCATGCTTAGAATTCAGGACTCCCTCTTATCATGCTATTCAAATATTTTTTCGTGAAACATGAAACATCGTTTGTTTGAAGTTTGAAGACTAAAATTGTGTGTGGTGTGTGAGCGTGTGTCTCTTCTATATGATCTAAAAGAAACATCCTTCATTTTTTTTCCTCTCTTTTTTTTTCTTGTTCTCTGCTTTCCCGCTGTATTTACTCCCCTCCAACTTAATACAATGATACGCAAAAGCTTATGCTTATTCGCGCCAAAAAAAAAAGAGTTTTGAACTAGCAAAAAAAACTGGCAAACAGTCTTCAATTTGAAAGGTGTTGCAGGAGGTGAACAGTAGCGATTAAAAATTTGCAGGCAACAAATTCTAGTCAAGCATAATATGGACCGTGCTACTACCAATAGAACAAGAATCTTAGCCGCTCTTTAATTAAGTACACGAATTAATAATACTCCACCCGTTTTGAAATGTTTGACACCGTTGACTTTTTAGCACATTTTGACCGTTCGTCTTATTCAAAAACTTCTGTAATATATAAAATTATATGCCTACATGAAAATATATTTAACAATAAATCAAATAATAGGAAACGAATTAATAATTACTTAAATTTATTTTTTAAATAAGACGAACGGTTAAACATGTGCTAAAAAGTCAACGGCGTCAAACATTTCGAAACGGAGGGAGCAAGTAGTACTCCACTCTTTTAATCAAGCACAAGCATGATCAACAAAATAATCACTCACCGTCACCGAGTCCGCGAAGCCGAAGCTGGAGAGGTCGGCGGCGGAGAACATGGCGAACGGCGGCGGGTGCGGGCCGCCGCCGGGCTTCTGGTCGGCGGCGGCGTCGGCGTCGTCCTCCCCCCTCTCGCCGTGGAAGAACGCCTCGAAGTTCAGCTCCGACGGGCACTTCTTCATCTCCTCGTGTGGCCTCTGCTGCTGCTGCTGATTCTTTCAGCGGTGGTGAACTGGTGGTGGTGGCGTCGGAGTCGGATGCTTTTAGAGATGCCCCAGCGAGGCAGATCACCGAGGGAGGAGAAGGAGAAGAAGGAGAAGGGAAAGCTCCTCTTTTTCGCCCCCCACAAAGCTGAGCTGCCCACCCGTGCGCGGCTGGAGCGGTGTCAGTCCGGCGTGGAAAGAGGCTAGAGTATCATCCTTGCCCCTCTTTCCCCCGCATATTTACCACCCCCTGCCATTGGGGGTCCTTCTCCACGTGTACTCCACTCGCAAGCGGTACTTGTTAGGAAGGTACGCTGTAGGTGGTCTCTTCCTACCTCCCCGGCGGCCGGCTCCGGTGCCGGCCGTCAGATCTCCGATGCCGCACACGACAGGGAGGAGGCGGCGGCAGCACGACCACTGCCACATGAGGAGGAGGAGGAGGATGATTTGGCGGCTGTGACGTGCGGCACCGACCATTGCAACGAGGAGAGACTGCGTGCAACCGTGCGAGGAGGTAGCGGAAGCGTGCTCCGCGAGGGAGCCACGTGGATTCTAAGATTTATTGAATCATAATTCACATATTCAACAGAGAAATATTAGTAAAATTTTACAGATTGCTAATATTTTAAATCTGCTTCGCGATTGCTCTAGTGAGCTTCTTCAACAACTCGTGCGGCCTTGTTGAATAACAACAAATAACGAGCAATCATGCCTCTGAGATTAATAAAAAAGGCAGCAGCAGCAAGCTTCCAGGATCGATCAATCAGTTGGCAAGACAGCGAACGACGGCGGCGTCCTGGTTCTGGGCTTGGAACCTTGGCAATCTCCTTCCCCACCTCTCCTCCTACCTCCAAATCCTTTGCTTAGCTTCTAGAGTCTTTTAGCCCCTTGTATCCTTCCACCTTCCACCTCAAAACCTTCCACTATTGTAATAGAAATCAGTGGCTTCTTGTATTGGATTCGCACTGCTACTTCTGAGTTTGCTATTGTTCCAAGCGAGATAACTGGGATCCTAACAATCTGGTATCAGAGCCACCATTCCCCCACCAAATTCCACCATGAGTGACCAAGAGTGCTTGGAGGCCAATCATAGGCTAGAGGAGAAGATCGATCTGATTTTGAAGAAGTTGAATGAGATAGAAGCTAACAGGAGCAAGTTCTTCGAGGAGATGAGCGCCTCCATCAAGGCGACCACTACTGTCCTCACGGCTGCATCACATCCTCCACTCCAGGCACCACCTTCTTCGACGCCCACCACCTGTTTGATGAAGTGCTCCAACGACGATCGTCCTTGGGCGACGTCGAGCTCAGGCCACATCGACAAGGAGACTGCTCCGACAGTTGCCCTAGACCTTGGGGATGGCGAGGACAAGGTTCATGACCCCTGCATCGTCACCAAGGACTCATCCAAGGTCACGCCCACCATGTGTTCGATGAAATGCTCCAGCCCCGATACTAAGCCCGATCTCACCATGGTTGCGGAGGTTACCTACGCCAGCGCAGCCACTGCCTCTATGGAGTTGGTAACTGCTCAGGAAACCATTGGTGCCATGTACAGCGACACCTCTGACCATTCCAAGGTGATGCACACCAAGTGTTTGACGGTTGTCCTCGATGCCATTGGTGACACCGGTCAAGCTATGGTTGTGTTCCAGACCTGGACAGATGCATTTAAGGACGATCCAACCTCCGTTCAGTTCATGGACTTTTTCTCATCAAGTATGATGGCTAACATCAAGTGGAACACACCAATGCCCACTAAGTGTTCGGTACAGTGCCTTGGGCATGGCAGCATGGCATTGATGCCTACAAACCCTTTTGATGTTAATCCATGGCCACCTCCTACTCTAGAAAAATATAGAAGTCAAGCAGTTGTGCATATGTTGTTATTTGAGACACTATTCAATGAGGAGCTAAGGTTGGAGAGAATTGAATTGAAGCCATGGCCACCTCCAACCTACGATGGAGTAATTAGTGGATGGGATTCACAGCCTATGGCTGGTCCAAAATTCAAACTCTATTGGGCAAGAGTACGTCGTTTGCCACCTTGGCCGCCACCTATCGAAGTAAGTTGTCTTGCATTGGTGTGTCATGACAATGTAATGATTTTCACTGAGCTGAAGGATATTAATTTGCATTGGGGTGAGCTGAAACCATGGCCCCCACCAAGTCAAACAAACTTCAAAAATATTATGGTTCAGCCCGAGCAATGCAAGTATTGGAAAATTAGAGTAGAAATGAGTATATTTGCTAGGAAGGAGAAGTGGAATTTACTTAATCAGAAAAGTTGCACAATGGTTGCAATATCTAGCTTGAAGGAGCATGTCAATGGGCAAGAACAGATCTGGTGTAGACCTTGGAATCCTAGTGACTACAAGGTCTCCCCTGACATAATTATGTTGATTACTTCGTCCGTACTGCACCCCTATCATTTGGACCATATTGTTAGCCTTACATATCCTGAAGGTTTGGACACTCTAGTTAGTCATAAGGTGGTTCAGTTTGGGAGGGCTGATACTGCATGCAGTCATCAAAATAGACATACAATTGTTAGGACAACAGGGACATTTGTTAGGCCTGAGCTTGGTACTGGGAATGGTACACACATATTACTTGTTTCAGAGGCAGAAGCTGGATATGTGTCCATAAGGAATTTGCTTGAACTGACAAGGAATGCTAGGCAGTGGCATAATTCCATGGTTGAGTATTTGTCATGGTTTGTGGATGCATGGATGGTTGCCAAACATGCAAGTAATTTTGGTTGGTATCTTAGTTGGGCTTCCCAAATTAAAAATATGGTGAAGAATTTGTTGCGACAGGCAAATAGGGCCAGCAATTTTGACACTTCTATACTTGAGATGAACACACATGTTCAGAAACATTCAGCTTATACTCAAGTGCATAGCAGAGCTGAGGTAGTTACTGTTAAACCTGAAACAAAGGAGCTATTGAACGCTGAACTCTAGTCCTTTGCTATGCTTGTCAGCAACAAGATTGAGGACAATGATTTTGTATTGCTGCTTCTGAAACATCTCACTTCCTTAAGATTGATAGCTAAGATTGCATTGATCATGCCATGGGATCTAGCTGAAAGCGAAGGACAAATTTATAAAGCTTTTGGGACAGTACAAGTGTGCAATATAAATCAAGAGTGGAGCTTTGCAAGTTCAAAAGTTTATTTGATATCGACTTGCGGACAAGTCGAATTTCAAGGAGAGGGGATTGTTAGGATCCGTGGGCTGTACGTGGGCCAATTCAGCTGCTACGCTTACAAAGGCCCAATCATGTCTATGAGATTAATACAAAAAAGGCAGCAGCAACAAGCTTCCAAGATCGATCAATCAGTTGGCAAGACGGCGAACGGCGACAGCGTCCTGGTTCTGGGCTTGGAACCTTGGCGATCTCCTTCCCCACCTCTCCTCCTACCTCCAAATCCTTTGCTTAGCTTCTAGAGTCTTTTAGCCCCTTGTATCCTTCCACCTTCTACCTCAAAACCTTCCACTATTGTAATAGAAATCAGTGGCTTCTTATATTGGATTCGCACTGCTACTTCTGAGTTTGCTATTGTTCCAAGCGAGAGAACTGGGATCCTAACATAATCTTGACCATTTAGAGTCCTAGGTTAGGGTCATAATGACAAGAGGGTCAGAAAAGGGGGAAGATAGAGGGGGGGGGGGAGTCGTTGGTTCTATTGGGATGACTGTGGGTGTTGGAGGACTGACGGTGGGATGCACCATCGGCGCCGTGGGGACGGAGGAGAACGATGGGTCAGCGTCGGTGGTAAGGGCTAAACAAAGCAGTTGGTTTGGAGCTAGGTGGTGACAGATTATGCGGTGGAGTACTTAATGGAGACGTGAATTAGGGGAGGGGGGGAGGGGCTCGCCGGTGTTGTTTGTGCCTTCTGGCCAACCAATGATGCTTGGTGGCGGCATCAGTGCTCGAGGAAGTGTGCGGGGGCAAGCTCGCGTCACACTTGTGCTGCGTGCGGCTAGGGAAGAAGGAGAATGGGAGGAAAATGATAAGATCATATTGTTACGTACGAATCTTAAAGCATATAGTTGTCCAAAATACGAAAGACATGAGCTACGATTTTATGTCATAAGATATACTCATCTCTAGCTCATTCAGTAGTATAGATTAATGCCCTCCGTTTCACAATGTAAGACTTTTTAACATTGCCCATATTTATATATATGCTAATGAATCTAGACATTATTATATATATAGATTTATTAGCATCTATATGAATGTAGATAATGCTAAAAAGTTTTACACTGTGAAACAGAGGAAAGTACAATTTTAAGCTGATGATGCGTTCTTAATTAGAAAACCACTAGTTGACTAGTTGTAACGAGGCTATATATAGGAATTGAAGATGGATTCTCGTGCAGACCAGATTTCGGCCCATCCACGTCCAATGTTAGGTGGTAAAAGTTCAATTTTCGTCCTTCAACTCTATATCGAGTTTTATTCGTGTCCCTTGTCTAAAAAAAATCTACCTTACTGAGTGGTTTCGATAATAGTTTTATCACATATGATACAGTATAGGTTTAACTGGACCCAGGTATATGTGAAATCCTCCCTTTCTTCTACACCTTTGAATGACGCGAGTGACAGCAAAGTGTATGGATGTGACGATAGTGCTACCATATATTGCATCCTGTGTCGCCATTATCACACACGAACGATAACTATATATTGCATCCTGTGTCGCCATTATCACACACGAACCAGAACGCAAGTGTGACAAGGGCTCCATGGTCTCCGTCCCATGCTTTGCCTTATTCTATGTCCTCGTCTTGACACTAGACAACCTTATCGACGAGATTGACCGCTTGGAGGGCCTCTTCTCTTCGCCTCATCGAACAATTCCTCTGTTTGCACATTTTTACCACAATCAGCCACCCAGTTCCCTGATCCCCTCACCTATTCTCATTGAAAATAAAACTAAACAAAACTGACATATTACATATTATATTCAAAACATTTAATGGGTAGCATCAAAATTCCAACAAAAATATGAATTATTGGATTAGTAAGAGCAAGTCTAATAATACAGCCAATTGCCGGTGACAGTAGTATCCAGGTCATCAAAAACCTTCATAAGAGCCGTCAAATACAATAACAGTTATAATAGGATGGTCCACCATATTATCTAAGAGAATAATTAACTCTGACAAAAGCACACCAAACCTTCTCTCTCTACCTTGTCTCCGTCGCGCCAGCCACCACACACCATCCATTTATTTCTGATATCTTTTGTGTACTCTCCCATCTTCTTCCTTGTTTTTTTATGAACACAAGCAGCAGGCCAAGCTTGCTCTTGAGCTTATCGTGGGCCGTCTCCCGAGTCCTTACACGTGGATGCTGTGTCAGCCCGCGGCACCACCTATCGCCGCCATGGTGGCATGTCCTCGAGCTCCTCTAGTCATCTTCATGACAACCTTGAGCTTCACGGGTAAGCTAAGAAGCGGTCGCAAGTGAGTCCGCCCGCTGGAGGTCTGGAGCAAGCTAAGCAATGGTGTGACGGTAGCGAGCAAGCAAGGAGATGACGACGATCCCGCGACAATCTTTAGCTCCTTCTCTCCTCATCAACGCCTTCATATGGGAAGTTGTGCTGTAGTCGGGTGATAGGATAGTCGCCGGCTCACATTCTCTCTCACTCCCTCTCCCTTCCAACCCATCACCACATTCGACGTGGTCTCCTTTTCGCCAGTCCACGGTGTCTTATTATACCTGCTCTAATATTTGATAAGGTAATGATGTGATTTAAAAAAAAAACAAAATTCAGTTGCAAATGCACAGGCATTCGTAGACCAATCCTACCACGCCGACCAAACACCACCTTCCCCGCCACTAGCTTATCCTCCTCGTCTTCCCTTCCATCCCCCAACCCAACCCACCACCGCCTCGCCGCGGTCGCCGGCGAGAGGCGCCGCGCTGCGCGCGTCGAGAGGATCGCCTCCTCCTCCTCCTCCTCCTCCGGCAGCCATGTCCTCCATCCACTTCTTCCCGGCCACCTCCCAGGCCGCCGCCCCGTCGCGCCGCCCCCTCACCAAACCCTCCCCAAAACCCCCCGCCGCCACCGCCGCGTACCACCGCGGCGGAGACAACGAGCCGGTGCTCTTCCCGCGCCTCTTCCTCAGGAGGCGTGCCCGGCCCGCCGCGGCGCCGGCCGAGGCGCCGCCGGTGGGCCCCGACGGCAGCAGCAGCGGCGGCGGGGGAGGAGGAGGGGAGGGGGGCGGGGGCGGAGGGGACGACGAGGAGGATGAGGGGACGAGGAAGGGGCTGCTGCCGGAGTGGCTCAGCGTCACGACGGACGACGCCAAGACGGTGCTGGCCGCCATCGCCATCTCGCTCGCCTTCCGCTCCTTCGTCGCCGAGCCGCGCTTCATCCCCTCGCTCTCCATGTTCCCCACCTTCGACGTCGGCGACCGCATTGTCGCCGAGAAGGTCCGTCTGCTCTTCCTTGACTTCTTTCCTTTTTGTTTTTGTCAACAGAGGATTCAGATTTTACTTAAATGTGCTGATTACTGAGTTCCGGGTGCACACATTTGCCTAATGTTTCTGATAAAATGTGTGCCTTTTGAATTTCGACTTGGGTAAGTAATCAATACAGCACAATCGTAGAAATTTGTTCACGTACTTGTTACTTGTTGGTTTGCTTCCTGGTTGCGTAGCATATGATGATCACTGCCAAATTTTGTTTAGACGATAACCTGGTATAAGCATTGGTAAAACAAAATCCCCAACATACTAGAATTCCGCATTGACATCAGCAAATAGGCATATGGACACATGACACATGTTCACATTATCATGCTCACCTCTGCAGGCAATGGCTGATCTTTTGCATATTGTTTTGTCCAGCCATCAGTCAAACAGTCATATATAGCTTGAGTTAGCTATAAAAATTATGAATGAGCTGTTTTAAATGGGTTTCACAGCACTTCTAAGTGTAACAGGGAAGCAGGCGTAGACAGTCCGATTGTTGGTTAACATTTTAGGACATATTTTTTTTTTCATTTTTGTGTTAAATTATAAGAAATGATCATCGTCTAGTTAGATAGCATGCCTTAATATGTTCTATGCCTCCTGTTGGCAGTAAAAAGTTCTGAAATGAGGCTATTTATTTTGTAAAAAACTGCCTTCACAAGACTTGTTCATAATCTCAATAGACTTTGATCATATTGGGGATATTTGGAGTAATATACGATAACCTACATAAGTATAGAAAACAATGACAATATTCCACATAAAAAAGAGAGCATGACAATATGCACCCTTTGAATTGCATTAATCTTTCTACATAATCCTTAGTCCAAAGTATGTGCTTGTTGTCATTAACAGAACTAGCACGGTGGCCCGCGCAGATTGCGCGGCTAGCATCACTATATTTTCTCTCATATAATAGCATATATGTTTTCTCATTATATTATTTAAATATATTAAAATGACAACATAATTTTAAATTTTGCAGTAACTTTACAAAACTAATAATGTGTAATATTCATATTGTATTTTATATACGTGTTAGTTATTAATTATTTTTAATATCAAATTTTAGTTATTTGTAAATTATATATATTCCTATATGGACTCTAGACTTGTCTTTTAATATTTCTTTTTTTTTTAATTCTGAATTTTCTGTAAATTGTATTTCTATATAGACTCTATGCTCTTCTTCCAATATTATTTATTTTATTTCTGAATTTTTATTATTTCTAATTGTATTTCTATGTGGACTCTAAACTCATCTTTCAATATTCTTTAATTTTTAATTTCGAATTTCAGTTACTTCTAAATTGTATTCCTATATTGACTTTAAACTCTTCTTCCCATGTTTTTCTTAATTTCGAATTTTAGTTATTTGTAAATTGTATTTTTATACGGACTCTAAACTCTACTTTTAATTTTATTATGTTTATTTCAAATTTTAGTTTGTTTTAAATTCCTATATGGACTCTATACTCTACTTCTAATATTCCTTAATTTTAATTCCGAATTTCAGTTATTTCCTAATTGTATTTTTATATGGACTCTATACTCTACTTTTAATATTCCTTAATTTTAATTCGGAATTTCAGTTATTTCCTAATTGTATTTTTATATGGACTCTATACTCTACTTTTAATATTCCTTATTTTTAATTCCGAATTTTAGTTATTTCCTAATTGTATTTCTATATGGACTCTAGTCTCCTCTTCTAATATTTCTTATTTTTTAATTCCTTTCAACTATTTCTAAATTGTATTTATAAATGGACTCTAGTCTCCTCTTCTAATATTCCTTATTTTTTTAATTTCGAATTTCAGCTATTTCTAAATTGTATTTCTATATGGACTCTGCCTTTTCTTTTTCTCCGATTAATGTGAGAATTTCTAGGCCATGAGAGCGAGTGTGGAGGCTCCTTTTTCTATTCCTTTAATAATATAATAGATGTCACAATTCTCTCAAACAGTTCCTAGTACATCTTGGGCACAGGGTTTGACCTATCGGAACACTGATTTGTATCGGGGGTCACCGAAGTTCTGAAATTTCGGAAATATTGCGGAAATTTTGGACGATTTTTTTTTAAAAAAATGAATTCAAATTTAAAAATTGTGGGCGAAATTTCCAAAAAAAGAACAAAAACAGATAGCAACACTCGCTCTGTTTGGCAGCCATACAAGCAGCAGCAGCTGCATCACAAATTTGCGGCAATTCTTAACTACTGCAGCTGTGGCAACCAAGCTGGAAAAATACCAAGCTGAAAATGCACAAGGAAATATACCAATCTCGTCCTAGAACCAATAAGCCCAACCATTCTTCCATCAACTTCTAGAATATGAGATGCACATGAACAGAACTAGCTGGTTGTTGAAGAATATACTGAGAACAAACAAATGTGAAGAAGAGGGATAACCAAGCTGGTTGTTGAGCACCATCACCTTCACCGGCAGGTTCTCGACGTGGATCATGGCGAGCTCCTGGATGTTCATCAGGAAGCTGCCGTCGCCATCGATGTCGACCACCGCGGCACCGGCGGCGGCCGGCAGGCCGAAGCCCATTGCGCCTAGCCTGGCGGATGAGAGCCACTGCCTGGGTCTCCTGTAGGTCTAGTACTATGTCGCCCACATCTGGTGCTGCCCGACGCCCGGCTGGAGCGGCTGCAGGCGACGGCTAGGGGCGCCGGTGGTGGGCTGCGTCGGGGCGGCGAGGCGGCGACCGGCGTCGAGGCGGCGCCTGGCGACTTGGCGAGATGGTGATTTTTTTCGATCTGGGTGTGGTGTGGCGCAATGAGGGGAGGCGGAGGGGGGGAGAGAACGGCGATTTAGGGTTAGGGGAGAAAATCGCGTCAAATTTTTTTTGGCCGAAATATTTGACCAGAGCTCACTTACAATCGGGACCCACCGAAACGCCCGAAATTTCCGAAATTTCGGTTCCAAAATTTCCAACGCCGCTTCGGCATAATACTGCTTTGTTTTATCCAACTACCTTTTCTAGTTGTGATGATTGATTAGTCCATTATTAATATTTTAACTACGATGAATCAGGATACCAAATTCATTGTGGTTGTTGCTTATTTTCATTTGCTGAATTCCAACCTTTAGTGTCTTTATAAGTTCCAAAATTTGTTTAAATTTGCAAGATGGTATGATGGACCACTATTAAAGGTCACCTGCATGGGTGTATAACTTCACCCTATATATTGTTATTCATGTTGAGTTTGTTTATATTTCTGTCAAAAGATGTCTTTTTATATCTTACTAAGCAATGTATTCACATCATATCATAAATTTACCATATGAATGCTTTTCAGGTTACATACTACTTTAGAAAGCCATGTATAAATGACATAGTAATCTTCAAAAGTCCACCAGTGCTGCAGGTACTTGCATATTAGCTAAAAGTGTGGTGTTTTGGGAATTTGGATGATGTTTGCTGTTTTTCTTGATATCACTGTGAATGTTTCTGTTCAGGAGGTCGGTTATACTGACAATGATGTTTTCATCAAACGAATTGTTGCCAGGGAGGGAGATGTTGTTGAGGTTGCTTTCAAACTGAGAAACTTCTTTTTCATGTGTATAACTATATCTTGTAATCTTCACTTAATTAGTTTCTTTTTCTGTCTATGAATTCCTTCCTGCAGTCTTTGTGTGTGTTAATTTCAACACCATGAAATTCTTTGAAATTTTTTAGGTAGTCCAAGGAGTGTACTAAAATTGGGAAACGTTTACTCCATACTGTTTAAGCATTGGAGAAATCATTATGTCTATTATGTGATCACAAAATAGATTTGTGATCTTTCCATCTTCCTGTGCTCACTTTGTGCCATGAGCTGCTTCATGGTCTCTTCCACATGGCATGATACTCCACGTCAGCTGCACCAGGCTCAAAGGCAAGGCCCGCTATGGCAACTCCTCAGCCACATGGCAGTTCTACTTTGGGGATGGTGGCGTCAGTCTTGCAGGAACGGCATTGATGTTTGAGATGCTGAGTGTGGATGTGAATGCTGGAACAGTCTCACTCCCACTTGCAGTGGCTAGGGCGGTGATGCTGTCACTGATGATGAGTCTTGATATCTTGTTCTTGTATGTTAGCCTACAATGAGTCTGAGGTCTTATATTCTTCTATGTTAGCCTCCTCGCTGCCACTTTCTGCCCTCTTCTCCTGCATTGTTGTTCTTCAGCACTGTTCTTCCAGATCAGTTGTTTTGAGCTAGAATTTGCGACAGGATGACATGTCTCATGGAACTTTAGTACTTGTGAAGTATAACATAAGCAATAGAAAAATCCTTACCCTATGAATTGTTTGGAGTGACCTACTTACTGTGCTCAAGTATTAATTTAGGTTCTTTCTTTCTTTCTTTCTTTTGAAACACTGTGACATCCTCAAACAACAAAATACTTAATTTTCTTTTCATCTTATTGCAGGTTCATAAAGGAAAACTAGTTGTCAATGGTGAAGTTAGAAATGAAGAGTTCATTCTTGAGCCACCTTCTTATGACATGAACCCAGTGGTAAGATATTACTGAGCCACCCATGAATGATACATGAGCTCAATAATGTAACAACCAACCAAATATAGTTTGAACCACATTCCCCAGTTAAGGCTGATGAGCAATAAGAGGATTAAGAAAACACAAATGGTTTATTAGTTTTGATTCACTGACACTACATATGTGGATGTGTCAGTGGAATGAATGGAGACATTTGAAGAAACAATCTTGATTAGATCCCTTACTGTTACTGATTTTTAAATACTTTATCTGCATTAATAATCAGACGTATATCATGACGAATTACATATAAAAACTTGCATTTTGCGTGTGGTATACCTCCAAGTAAGCTGAAGACATAAAATTTCTATAGAATCTATTGAATAGTGCTCACTAGCCACACCTAGGTGGATATAGATATGGTTACCACTATTTATAGATACATTATTGTGTATGGTTTCTTGTGTTGTGTGCTGTGTGCATATTCTGTACATATGCATGAACATGAAGTTGTCAACAACACTTCATACTTGATTTATGTTTCAATCCTTGTAGAAGAAAAATGAACATGATTCTTTTCTGGGTTATATTTTTGTGTTTGTTGATACTATGTTTTTCATGACAGCAAGTACCTGAGAACTCAGTTTTTGTAATGGGAGATAACCGAAACAACAGTTATGATTCACATGTGTGGTAATACTCTCTGCTGATTTTCCCATGTTACTTACTATTAACTTGTTTTGTATCTTAATTGAATTGGCCTGTACAATACTGCTATTATTTTCCTCAGGGGCCCTCTTCCTTCTAAGAACATATTGGGGAGATCCATTTTCCGGTATTGGCCTCCTGGCCGAATAGGGAGCACTACTACTGATTGCCTCATCCCTGAGACAAATCCAAGCTCGCTTATTGATGTCAAACTGGCAAAGTAGAAGTTCAGGCATTGATTATTGCAGTGTGAAGTTTGCGCTTCATGTAAGCTCCTATTCTTTAATATTCCCTCTCTCCTGGAAATTCGGAGGAATATTTGACAGCAGGCCACGTAGAAATTAGAAAGGAGAACACATTTGGTTCTCCTTGATGTCACAAAGAATGCTAGCAACTAGCATGAGCATAGAAACCATTTTGTTTCAAGGTTTCTGCGACTCTCGCTCTTTGTTGTATATTAAGACTGTAAGGATGTTGCCTTAGTGATTCGCATCAAATGATTCTTCTTGTACATCACGTTTTGTAGCACCACGTGTGTATCATCCTCATACAGTGCTTGACAAAAGATGTGTAACGCGTTGAGCCGGCAGTTCACTTCATTGCCTTACATGTTGCTAATGCTGACAGATTCTTCAGAATTCAAGTTACTGCCATCCTTTTGGTCTGTATGAACAATTGCTCCCCCGTGTCGGTGTACTCATGGATGGCATATAAATATTTAGGTTTAAAGAAGTGGATTGAAAAATATATATTGGTTATCAACAATACAATTTCCCAAACTATATATGATGATTCTATGAGCAGGGATCCTGCATATTTTTCAGACGGGAGAAATCTGAAATCTGTGCAACCTATATATATATCAATCCATCCACGCGGCACGTCCCTTCAATATCAACACGGTGGCGTGCACAATACACAGTCGCACAGAAGAATAACAAACAAATTGGTGGGTGTTAGTTTCCCTCTACTGACTGAAATCGCTTGCTTGCTTTAGTTTAGTCGCGTTGGCATGGAAGTAAAACCCATATTTAGTCAGATTAGATTCCCTCCTCACGCAGCAATTGGCAAATGCTTGGTTGGTTCGCAAACGCACTACTAAGAGTGAATAAACAGTCACTGCAACATGGCCCAGCAGCAAATTAAGCAGGATAAGGCCATCATTTCGATCCAAACCGGCCAACCAAGCAAGAAAACCAGCAACACGTCTCGATGTCATCACATGTACATGATCTCCAGCGATATAGAGCGCGCGCGGCGACGAGTCACGACTGCAATTTGCGACGCAAGAAACCTCCTCCCTTTAGATCGCGGCAACACATACGTTATCTCTGACAAACAACCGTGAAAAGAATAATGGCCGTTTCGGTAGATCGATCTCCAATTGACGATCGAATTGGGAAGAAGCACCTCTAACCTTACTGCTCCCTCTGATGTGGTGTTCACTGATATATAGACTCACAAGCTATGGAACCGATATGCCAACCACTCAAAAACAGAGAAAAGTAAATTAGAGATTCATGAGCTGTGAAAAATAATTAAGGGCCGTTTTCTAGCTGTCCTATTCATGGATATGATCAATTGGTAAGTGCCTGCAGGCACCTAGCCAGAGACTATCCCGCCGTATTATTTCGACCAAATTCTCCAAGCAAACATGGGAAGATAGATACGTACTCCTACGCGTGTGCCGTGGCCGTACGTACGTGTGCCTGCATCTTCACCGCAAGTCATGCACATGCGCATGTGCTTCATCCTAGCCTACGTTGCTGTTCCCGCTCGCCACACACTTTCGCCTTTCTGACTTACACGCGCGTATATATACACGCAGCACGTCTGCACCGGCCGTTTCACCATTCCTCGAACACCATCATCCACAAACACACAAGTACATCTCGATCGAAGCTAGCTAGACTAGAGCACGCACACGTACGATCTCGTCCATGGCGGGCGTCGCTCGCATGCTCGCGGCCGTGGTCTGCGCGATCATGCCGGCGGCGGCGATGGCGGCCGGCGGCGTGGGCGCGCTGGAGCCGAGCGGGTGGGTGAGGGCGCACGCGACGTTCTACGGCGGCGCGGACGCGTCGGGAACCATGGGCGGGGCGTGCGGGTACGGCAACCTGTACGCGCAGGGGTACGGCACGAGGACGGCGGCGCTCAGCACGGCGCTGTTCAACGACGGCCTCGCCTGCGGGCAGTGCTACAAGCTCGTCTGCGACCGCAAGACGGACCGGACGTGGTGCAAGCCGGGCGTCTCCGTCACCATCACCGCCACCAACTTCTGCCCGCCCAACTGGGACCTCCCCAGCGACAGCGGCGGCTGGTGCAACCCGCCGCGCCCCCACTTCGACATGGCCCAGCCCGCCTGGGAGAAGATCGGCATCTACCGCGGCGGCATCATCCCCGTCATCTACCAAAGGTAAACAACACAATCACATATGTCTAGTGGTCGTTGCAGTGACCTGAATAGCACTCTAAGGTTCTAAGTTCAGATCTTCATAGGAGTGAATTTCAGATTATGTTGTTTGAGGGACTGAGTTTCCGATTCAAGACGATTTGAGAGGCTGGATAAAAAATACCATTCTCTAAAAAAAAATTATCACCTTCGACATCGCAACATCGATCAAGCATTGATGATTGATTCTACTGGGTGGCGGAGTCAAAAAAAAAAACATTCACATATAAGGCTGAGCTAATGAAAGTTCAAATATTTTCACAACCACATAGTATTTTTTAAGATTATAATGAGAGCTATGGATCTAGGCATTAGGCTCGAGTCCTGGCTGCCCCATGCCTGATGCGGCCTCAAATTTGTACTACCACCGTAAAAATCACTTTATTTTTGATGTTTTTGTGTAGGGTTCCTTGCATGAAGAAGGGCGGGGTGCGGTTCACCATCAACGGGCACGACTACTTCCAGCTGGTGCTGCTGACCAACGTCGGGGCGGCCGGCTCGATCAAGGCCATGGACGTGAAGGGCTCCAAGTCGCCGGACTGGATGGCCATGGCGCACAACTGGGGCGCCCAGTGGCACTCGCTGGCCTACCTCACCGGCCAGGGCCTCTCCTTCCGGGTCACCATCACCGATGGCCAGACGCTCGTCTTCCCCAACGTCGTTCGCCCCGGATGGAGGTTCGGCCAAACGTTCGCGAGCAACATACAGTTCAAGTGAGCCACCTGATCGATCGAAGCTTCTATATAGGCGCAGCTAGCATCGTCGTGCATATGCGTGAAGGATTTAATTTGGCGTCCAAACTTTATATATACTTCTTTTCCAAAATGATCGATCACTCTCTCAATTTGGATGCTGATGGGGGTTGATTTACTATGGTATTGTGTAATTAATTACCAGCCTGAAACCAACATTTTCATTGGGCTTTTGTATGTATGTGCGATGTACATAAAGAGTTCGATCTAAATGATTCTTATGGAAGTATGATTATCACGCGATTTGAGTAAACTCCAAATTTGGTGTTTAGTTGAGTAGACCATAAGTTGGATTCCCTTGAGGAGATAATTACAAGGTTCTTAATTAGTGTGTTAAATTTGTAACACCTTCTGGTATATAGCTATTTTGGTTCAAAATCCGTAAAAAGATCTCAGATAATAAAATTGTCGAACGATCAACTTGTTGGAAAGTTTTTGTAGGCAGTGGCGAGTTACATTGGGGTCCAGTAGATCGTGTATAGTAGTTGTGCTTGCTTGTTAATACTACCTCCGTCTAAAAAAATAAATAAATCAAATTTAACTTACGAATATGGACTGATGCTTATTGAGATTCACAGCGAAAGAAATCAATTTTAACTTATGGATATGTTACAACCGTGCGCGTAAGTAAGGTCGATCTACACGCGATGACTATACTTTGTTTAAGATATTCGCAACGGGAAATATAATCTTGAAGCTAGCTACCTTGTGCGAAAGATTATTAGTCAAAACGGTGAAGTACATTTGTGGGTTTCCAGCGTCAATGCACCTAGCTAGAGGCAGCTATATGTATATAGCTTGAACAGTAAGCGTTAGACTCTGCAGCTAATTCAAGCAATGGCGTTGAGAATTCGTTCCCCACAACATCCCTCACATGCATATGAAGCTACTACGTACTTGGGATTTCGTACTAACGGTTCAGTTTTCTCTCGTTGACCTTCCTGGCGTACAAAATTTGTCCTCGCTTTGCGTCAATATAATCCGCCTCGACGAATGCAAGACGAGAAGCCCACGTCCGTGCGCGCTGTCAGCCCAGCCCAATTTGCCTTATCCCTTTTCCTCTTCTTGCCGGCCCAGTCCACTTCCTCTTCCGTTGAAAAACGAGATTTGAAGGAAGAGACGTCTCTCTATTGTGTTGAGGATTGAACATGGGACTTTAGTATTACTACTACACTATAAAGTGTATCTGGCTTCGTCTTCCATTTGTCTTATCGCGATAACCGAATTGAGCTAGATCGAGCGTAGGCGATCGAGGTGCCCGGTTCCGGCAAACGATCAAGCTTGGGGACCAACATGATGGATGGGAGTTGGGTAACGAGAAGACTCGCTGTCGCCGATACTGAAACCCGCTACGGCGGCGCCACCGTGCGTCGTCGACTTGGCTAATTGCAACATCCACAAGAAGCAACCTGTCACAACAAGTACTACAAGTCTCTACCTGATGAGCCCGGCAAGGTGCACCGCTGCAGCTACCTCCTGGTGCTCCGCGCGCGCGGCGAGCTGCTGCTGTCCAGCGTCCTACAAGCTACAGGACGCCGGCTGCACCGGCCACGAGCGCCCCTCTCGGTGTCGGTGCACGTACGCTTTCCATTGCGACACAGCCTTGCACGCGCTCGATCACGATCCGGACGACGACGAGGCGCCGCCGCCGAGCATGCATGGGAGAGAGGAGAGACGACATGCTCGGTGACCACGTCCTCTTCCTGGGTTACCCGTGCAGCTTCTAACTAAACGTTAGGCAATAAACGATAAAAGAATAATAGATCAATCATAAAAGACACAAGATTTAACGTGGAAAACCCTTCCAAAGCAGGAGAGAAAAAACCACGAGCGCCAGCCAACAAAATATCTTCACTATATCGGGGTGAGATTACAACACCGAACGACGGCTTAAAAGAGGTATATATATGATGGTGGAACCCTAAAAGGGATGACGATCCGCTTCGCTCTGGCTCAAGCCTCCGGCGACAGGCCTCCGCTGCGCTCCAGCAGAAGCTAGCCTTTATTATGTGTAAATGAATTTGGACCACAACTCAACAGCTTCGCCGCGGACGCCGTGCGGTTTGGCTGGGACGCGCGCCCAACGGCAGCGTTGACTTCGTTGTTAGGTCGGAGTTAGTGTAGGAAGAAATAGAAGGGGTTTAAATAAACTAGATAAACTACTTCCCCTTCCCATTTACATATAGTAAAAGATTTTAGTAGGGGCTTCATGAGAGCTCTCATGGTCCTCGCCCCAGTATTAGAGGCTCGAGACCCTGCCACATTCATGCTAGATCCGCCCTTGGGTCAGACCGTCGGAGCCTTGCCGTGTGTATAGGTACAACTTCACGTGGATGCATGGCGGCAGTGGCGGCACGTGACACTGGTGGACATGCTGCCCGCCGAATGGAACGACAAGAGATGCACGTGGTTCTTTGCTGAGCCCGACATTAATGCGAAGAAGAAGAAGAAGAAGAAGAAGAAGAAGAAGAAGAAGAAGAAGAAGAAGAAGCTCCAGCAAGCCGGCAACGCCGAGACCTGTGGATCTACGTTGTCGATCTATCCCCGAAGGTGGATACGAAAAGCACAAAATAAATTTCCTAAGAGGCTAGGACTACCTTAGGCAACTCTCGCAATTTCCTAAGACTAACCACAAAATAAATTACTTTTAATTGAAAAACCATATCATATCATTTGTGTGTAGCACTAGCAACTTTTGTTCGAATGGTCAGACCGTTGCTGACGTTTTATATAAAAAAAAGGGTATCCTATTTTAAGGAGAAAACGAGACCAAACTTTACAATGCATAGTTGGGAAAAAGTGAAATTAAACCACAACTACAACAAACTCTCCAACTACGACGGCAACAAAAAGGGACAGCCAAACACAACACTCAACAAACGTTGCTCAACATGTGAACAACAAGGGGCCAATCAACAAGCTAGAACAAAACAAAACTCCTACACTGGTCGGCGTCAGATGCGGCCCTAGAAGTGAAGGCATGTTGGATCTGGGGCATCCACACCTTGGTCCGGCAACTCACCGGCTCGGCTGGTGATGATGGCGGCTCCATTTATTGGAGGATGTCGACAACTGTGGTGCAAGAAAGTAGGCCACCTCCATACGCTGTGATGGGCTAGGGCGGCTCCAAACACACCTGCGAGCGAGCGCAACCGATAGTGGGATTGCTCTAACATTTGTAGCTCGGTGAAGACCAAGGTGAAAACTTGAACGATGATGCCTGTGGGCGTCGTTTCTTTCTTGGAAGCATTTTATGTGTCTCCCCGTCCAGTTGTGTTTTGATTCTCTGGGTTAAAATCTAGCACAATTCTTGAATCGGCGATGAAGACGCATTCTGGCATCATGTCCTTCTTGAAGTCATCATGGAAGAAATCCATGGTAGTCCCTAGTTTTACCTTGCATTGCATGAAGAATGGCATTTGGGAAGTCTGAGCTGCAATGTTGAGGCATTCGACGAGCTTGGCAACGATGACTCGAAGCTTTGCTTGGTTTCATTCAGGGTTTGTCTGTTGTCCTTTGGGAAGTCAGTGCTGCTGCGCGATTGCAAGCTTGGCAACAATGACCCACATCAGACCACGTCAGTCGTGTTTCGCTCTTGTGTGGGGTAGCAAGCTTTTCAGTTTGCATGGCTTGTCGGTCTTGCTCACCCGTGCACAAGCAAGACTGGTGATCGTGAAGTCGGAGCTACGACATCGACGAGGTGCGACGTGTGACAACGATGACATGAGTCCTTTTGAGTTATGCTTCGGCATGGGTCGAGGCGTTGTCCTGACTTGTTCTTGACGAAGGTGTTGGAGTCACCTGATCACGTGGGTGATGGTGTAATGACGAGCACTAGCAGCTTAAACCTGCCATACTTGAGCCACACACATGTGACATATGGTATTCGTACCCCATCACAGACCAAGTCATTTGTGAAGGGCAATAAAACACAATAGGTGAGTCATGTGAGGTTGGAATTTCCACCCGGTTGATCATAGGGGTTAACTCTTAGGGACCCTGTTTAGATGGGACTAAAACTTTTAAGTCCCTATCACATCGGATGTTTGGACACTAATTATAAATATTAAACGTAAACTATTAATAAAACCCATCTATAATCTTGGACTAATTCGTGAGACGAATCTATTGAGCCTAATTAATCCATGATTAGTCTATGTGATGCTACAGTAAACATTCTCTAATTATGGTTTAATTAGGCTTAAAAAATCTATCTCGCGAATTAGTTTTCATTTATGTAATTAGTTTTGGAAGTAGTCTATATTTAATACTCTAAATTAGTGTTTAAATACAGAGACTAAAGTTAAGTCCCTAGATCAAAACACCACCTCATAAATTCTTGCGGAATGTGACATTGGATCTATAAATTTTCTTTTTAACATAAAAAATTTCACTATGATTTGTGATAGGTATTTTATACGGACCATCATTGTCATATATCACTGATGGGTCTCACCTCTATTACGATTACTAGGATCCTACCATCACACTCCCTCCGTTTAAAAAAAGGCAAACTCTGGCTGTGTAGATATGATGCATGTCCAGATACATAGTTAGAGTATACTTTTTTTTTTTTTGACAGAGAGAGTACAATTGTCGTAGTGCCTATTAAAGCCTTAGAGGGTAATAAATAGCGTTTTTCGCATCGAGCAGGCCCATGCATGATGCTTGTAGAGTCGTAGTTGAGTCTGAGCCCGACTTTGCGATGAGGCTGGCCATGTGCACCCATATCACCCGGTTCTCCCTAATCAGATTTATCGATTACGAGTTTATTATAGACTAGAAAAAGTGCCCATGCGTTGCAAAGGGAAGAAAATTAAGGAAAATCTCCTTGGCGGATCCGACCGTTTGGAGCAGAGGGACGCAAGCTGCCGTCTGTCTCGAAGGCCCGTCCATCTCGAAGGTGGAGCAAGGAGAGCGGAGCCGATAGGTGGCACTAAAGATGACATATGTTTTTATGATCTCGGGTGTGTTAGGTCTTGGATACGACTCATATGTTCCGCTTGTTATTGTGCTCTTTTTTGAGGATTTTTGTTCTGTCACACCCTCATTTTCGTTTAAGGGATTTGTAAATTATTTCTAAAATTTATATTAAATTTCATTAATTTACAAGTGAAGTTTAATGTGAGAAATAAAATTTCCTAATTAAAACATGTCTATATTTAATCATTTTTAAATTATATATCCATGATTAATTATACTCTTAGGAATTTTCCTATTATTAATTTTAATAATACAAAGAACATTTTAGTA